GATGAGATATGGAAACGATAGCTGGATGTCTCCGAAAGGGATGTCGGCAGTCTTGTTTCTAAGAGAAGTAACGCTTTAACGCAGAGCATATGAACATACCCTCTGGTAAACGTTAACAAAAAACTATGGAAAATCACCATGCTATTAATGGGAAATTCCACTATTTCTATGGCCATTTTCAATAGCTATGTTTGTTTACCAGAGGGTAATTGGAATCCTTTCTCCATGCAGTGATTTGAAAGAGATGTCGTTGAACTTTCACTGATATAAACCGCGACCTTCGCACAAACACGTGTATCATGGATAAATTGTGCACATAGGTTCGGAACATAAACTGCCATAAACTGCCATAAACTACATCACATAGATTTTCGGCAACAGCTGGCACGCTGTGGGCGAATTATTTTGCTAGGTCCCAGCTGGTGCAATTGCTGACATGGCTACGGTCTTCAAAACCAAGGAGGCGCAGGCGAGCCATGGCGAGCCCGAGTGTTCCATGGCCATGACAATTGATTTTGGCGTAAGTGGCACCCTCTGGTAAACGTTTCGATTCCCATGGCCATGTTCCATGTTGAATTACTTGGGATGGCCATGGAAAATAATCATGTTGATTATAATTGCACATCATTACATGCAATTTACCTTCATGATAAATAAGTGTTGATTATTGGGTATGCCACCAAGTATAAGTTGGTTTACAAACCCCATGAAATACATAGATATATATCTACTATGGATGAAAGTGACATATTAGTTTAAACATAATTATAAACCCACTGCACCCTCAAGTGCCATAATCCATATATTTGGACACATTTTAACAACCTCACTGCGACTTTGCTGGAAAATTGGTTTGGGTTGGGGTAACTATCCAAAAGTCCCCTGACTTTTTCAGGTTAGTGACTTATCATATTTCAGCCATACACATCATCCCATTGTACATGAAATCCCATTGAATTTCATTAAATCCCTCATTTTTTATCCCTATTTTTGATGATTAAACCTCCATTTTCTTGGATAAATCAGAAACTTTCCCTTTTTTTAATACCTAGATATCTATAGATATACGGCCGTCTGGGACAAGACGCTTAAATTGCTTCTTCTCGGAAGGCCATGGTGCTCCGAGACGCCAAGATGCTGGGATTGCGCCAGGCAGCCATGGTGATCGCGACGGATGGCCATCACTTGTTACTTTTAATGATTATACCCCCTGGTAAACGTTTACATAGCTATGGAAAATCACAATCTTTAATAGGTAAATCAACCATAAATGTGACATTTTCAGTACTCTAGCTATGTTAAATTACCAGAGGGTAAATTACCAGAGAGTAATAGTGATGTAATATTGGAATATATGGGACACATATAAAGTACACTGTTTTATGGGTGTAGGGGAACATGATGATGAAACAAAGGGCTTTGTGATTTTCAGGTAACACCTCACCATCACCATAACGATAATCATCCTCATCATCATTATCATCATCATCATCATCATCATAATCATCATACTTATCATACTTATCATCATCATCACCGTCATCGTCGTCGTCGTCGTTGTTGTCGTTGTTGTCATTGTGTTTATCCTGCCCATTGTCATCGTCATGATCATGATCATGATCATAATTTTCGTAGTCATGGTTGACATGTCAGAAGGTGCTGCAAAAAAATCAGAAAGCAAAACAGTCTCAGTGATCATGATTTGCAATTTGTTGTTACATCCAGACAGTCAAGCATAATCATATATCCCATGATTGCTAGTTATGTTGTCCCATTAATTGTATATATCCACATCTATAATTATTAGTATACAGTGTTTATTTATATCTAGTTATTTATATTTATTTTTATTCATTTGTTCACTTATTTATCTATCGTAGTACAATGTTACACGTCCACTGAATCACCAATTTTACAATACGCTTGCCTTTACGTTGGGGCTGCAGGTTGCCTGGGATGGCCACCAGTGTCAGAGACTCACGAAGCTACCAGGCCCTTGTAGCATGCGGCACCCTTCAGATTTCACGGCAAATCGTTGCAAAAGTGGAAAGTTGGAAATCTTGATATGAATAGGATATGAATAGGATATGACATACCACGACAGACCCAAAATCTCACAACCCGCAGCGTGAACGTTTGGAATGATAGGATGTAACTGATGTAACATCACTCTAAACCAGCAGGTTTTGGCGAGAATACCTGGGAAATTTTGACGCAGGCCGGAGTCGATCGTATCCCAAATGGGGATGGTCATCAAGCTGGATTGGAACCATGGTGGGATGGATGGATTTTTGAACCATGCCATTTCTTTGACCATGTCACAAAACACATTGTGTTTCTTGTTTGAATCAACAAATATCTGATTTATGCGTTCATATCAGATTCATGATTTATGATATTTTTTGATGATTTTTGCATTGACAAACCATTGTAGTGAAAAATATATTTTGTTGACGGATTCCCAACTTCAAGTAACTCAGTACAGTAACGGGGTATCACTCAGAGGATCGTATTTGCCGCCCTGTACGCCAAAATGATTTGTGACCGTTAGATGTTTTTTTTGTGATCATCAAAACTTGGTGTTTCAGATGGTTTTCACACTTTTCATATCGATATATCGGGTGTTTCACCAAATCACAGCTTTGGTTTTCGAACTGCCATTTCGAACCAACGCCATGGTATGAGTTTCCCCATAGATTTGGTTTTATTTCCCATGACCAGAGGTGCCCCTCCAGGTATTTGCGTGGGTTGAAAAAAAACATCCACCAGTTCGATATATCTACCACAAACCACTTCGTTGACCTGGTTATAAACCAACTGAACGCTATCTGGGTTATAACCACATTGTAATATATCTTGTCTCTATGCACATGTCCCATGCCGAAATCATGCTCTTCTGCACCACTGTCGCAGGATTTGGGTCTTAGCACCAGTGAGGTGCAAACGCTTGGAACTCAGGTTGAGTTGTCGACTTTCTGCGTTGGTTTTCAGGGAAACTTTACGTTTGATATGGTTGTTGTTTTCCCTTCAATGAGTTTCTTGATGTTTTTTTTCCTCAAACCAATTCAGGGACAATAAAATGATCGATGTCAGACAGTTTGGATGATCCTAGTGGTTTGAGGCAAAGCATTCAGAACACTGGGTTAGGAAAAGTGTTTTTTTTTGATATTTTTCTGTATATTATATATGTATATATACATATATATATACATAGCAATATATTGAGATGAACAACTGATGATGTTGACAATAGTTGAGAATTTCAGCAAGCCAGGACCATATAGTACAACCATAGTACATAGTACTGTACCTTTATCATCAACCATATCATCATACTGCAATGTACTACGTAGTACTGTATATCATATCATATCACATCATATCATATCATATCATATCACATCATACGTATAAATGTTATATATATATATACACACCATATAGTACTGTAGTACATATGTGTATATATATATATAATATATAGTTACATATCACATTTATAAGATATCCCACAAGTCCCGCAAGATATCCCCTGTTATAATTGTTATATGTCTTTCTTTTCTATTAAAATTGTCATAACATCTCCATAAATGTACGATACATATCATCATTATATCTACCTTTGGTATCTTTTGGTACTGTGCCCTGTCGATTTTTCGGAGCGTGCCTCGGCGGAATGCGCCTGAGGCTCATCAGCGACGGCATCGTTTCCGGAAAAAAAATGCGGCGAATCCAAATCCAATGCATCGGTTTACTCAGATTTACGTATATATATATATATATATTATATATGTATACACATACATACAATGCATACAAGCACAATATGTCTTATTGAAGTATCCGCCCGCAGGAAGCAGCTCTATCCAGCACCGCCTCCAAACTCTTCGAACTGACGGCCGTTCAGGACGGCCCGTGCCACCATGCCTGAGAGTCTGACTCATGGATTACCCACCAGTTGTGACAAGCCACCATTTACTGGCATGGTTTCCGAACTTATATGATTTTATGGTGTTTTCGAAGGTTTTTTTTGGCCGATATTCTGGCTGAGTTCATGCAAAAGTCAGTGCAGAATTCCTGGTTTTGTGTTCTATAGTTTTCCTGTTGTACAAATGTTCGTTGTCTATACTTATTAATATATGTACACGTAATTTTATACTTTTGTTAAAAAAGAAAGTGTCTAAGGTTTTTTTCCATGCTTTTTTTGTGGTTCTATAGTGTTTCAAATTGAAAGAACTGCCAAGTGTTTTGTAAACATGCTGAATTTTCCGGGAATCAACCATGGCGTGCTGGAAACTCCCCGTTCATTTCGATAATGTTCCAGCTATAACCTCCATTTATCGTAGATGTTCATCGTTTTTTTCCATAGTTCCTATGATTATCCCATCAACAGCTCCATTTCGTTCAGCCAAATTTGGTGCGTTTGGTGAGATGAACTCCAGGAAAAAAAATCGGGTGCTCGTTGGATGAAAATGCTGGCGGCCGAACAGGGCGGGGATAGGCTACATGTATAGTACCCTCTGGTAAACTAACATAGCTATGGAAAATCACCATATTAAATGGGTAAATCCACTATAAATGGCCATTTTCAATAGCTATGTTAAATTACCAGAGGGTATCATTGAAATTGTATATGTACTTGCTGTATCTTGCTGTCTAGGCTATCCCGTTTTCCATAGTGTTGTGACATTTAGGGGATATATATTATGTATGTATATTATATAGCTGCATTTATCGACAGTATGCATATATATGTGTATATATATATATATATATGTTCAATTTATCTACATGAAAATCATAACATTGTAGAAGAACTCTCGATAGTCCGTATATATTATGTATATATATATATATCGATGTATCCGTGTTGACAACATATGTCGCACACTGTTATTTCTTGGGGGTGGTCAAAGCACTCAGAAGCCGAAGCTTGATGCATTCACTCACATCAGAGGGTCTGTTGAGATCTTAAGTGATGGTCTTGCAGCCGTTGATTGGCACATAGGGCAGTGAGACTCTGTGCGACGCGCTCATCTCACTCGTCCTTTCAAACGCAATGAAGCTGATATTTCTCACTTTGGCGGCTTTCTTCACCGGCAGCAGTGACTTAGATTTGCGCAATAAATGTATCTTTATGTGGCTTAACATGTTTCCATTTTTTTCCCCGTAAGATTCCACCAGACATGGGGAATCGAATGGAAATCAGCTGAAAAACTCAGGTGACGCTGCAAAGTTTCTTCGGGTGCCACAGGATCCCTTTGAGCCTTGGGACGTATGTTTTTACGTCTATGTTCCGCTTAGCGTGACGTATTACTATTTATTGCCATTATTATGAATTATGAGTATTGTTATTATTATTATTTATTATTCTATGATATATGATTATCATTATATATATTATATAATTTTAAATAGTATTTATTTATTATTATTATTACTATTATTTTATTTTCATCATTATATATATATATTATGTATTATATTATTATTATTATCATTATTATTATGATTATCATCATTATATATATATATTATTTATAATATTATTATTATCATATATATATAATACATTAATTCAGCTAGAAAGTACATTTCATCATCAACGACGTTTTCCGTCACTGGAATTTGATAATGATCTCATGTTTGGGGAATCCACAAGAAAGAGGCGAGATGTTCAGGCGACAGTGAATTAGGAAAAGTGAAGCCAGATAGGATGATGATGGGATATGGGTCTGTTTTTTTCATGGCGGGGCTGTTGGTTGCCTCAATGATCACATATATGGCTAGTTTTTCGGAGAAATTCAGGATTAACCAGAGTACCTTAATTTTTGGACCATATCTGTGATGGGCACGCATGGCAAAACAGAGATTGTCCTCGTTCCGGGCGGGGCGCGGGTTGGGCCATTCCTTTCATGCTCAGGATGATGGCCAAGACCATGACATAGGGACCGACCCCGATTACTATGAGGAGACCGGCGGGTGCACACAACGAAGCGCTGAGTTGAATTATTAGATGTTAATAGTCGACATGGGTTTGTCTGAAAATAGGGTATATTCCCAATTATAGCCATTTAATAGGGATAATGATCATTAACCATTGGGTTTAGGGGTACACTATTTTCAGACACACCCACATGTAAGACACGTAATTTGCAACACATCGGTTCATCTGTTTTCCGGTGAAGCTAAAGGTCGCTATCAATTGGACTTTGTCAATACATATCATGTGTGCGGAAGGTAGAAGCTGATGCTGATGACCTAGACCTTGTGGAGACTTTGGCAGCGTTTTTCAACACGGCTTGGTGAATTAGTGTCCCTTTTTTTTGGGGAATTGTTTCGCATCACTTGAACAAGTGGCTGTGTGAGATTACATATGATTATATATATATATGTTTTAACCCCTGATTCTGTGGAGTTATTTTTGGGTTTTCATTGTTTGTCAGACACTTCAAAATGGTCCGGATACGGCCATTTTGGTCAGGAGGTTTTGGGAGCTTTTGCAGAATTCACAAAAATGTTGAATAATGTATATATCATTGTATATCTACCCTCTGGTAAACTAACATAGCTATTGAAAATTGCCATTTATAGTGGATTTACCCATTAAAAATGGTGATTTTCCATAGCTATGTTAAATTACCAGAGGGTAGAGCCTGCAAATACACATGAAAATGATATTTTACCCAGTTTTTAGTAGTACATTGTACCATTTTGCGGCATTTGGATCAAGTATGAGGTTGGGGTTCTCAGAACCTGTGCCTGGGTTGGATTCTCAAAAGGATAAGGCTTGTGCCGGATGCCTTTTTTGTGTGTGGTCCAGTGGCAGTGGGTCTTAACTTCTGGACGAGAGGGTCCCGAAACGTGAAGTAATCTGGAGGTGAAGTGGAGTAAGTATCGAAAATCCAGGAAAAGAGTTGTTAGAAACACAAATTACTGTATAGCCTAACAGTTATGAGAGGGAATCGGTGAGAGTCGCAATCAGACAGGAATGTCAGGAATGTCGTCAATTTCCTCATGTTATGCAGCTCTATTCGAATGTACTCGAATGTGACCATGAAATGAACTTGAAGCAGATAACTGCACGGAAATTGAAATGCTACATGTGGGATGGATGAACCTTTTATATTTTATTCATCCTTAAATTGCCGGCAGCTTCGATAATTTTTTGGTACCATGAAAAAACCATCCACTGATGTACCAAAAAGGTGCCTACGGACATGGTGTACCCCATCACCCCGCCATTGTTTTCATGTGTGTGTTGGTTATATGTTTCCATAGAAACGCCTGTATCCTCATTGATGTTTGTGATGTTAAACAATCCCACATCATGTTTGTTGGTTATATATATATAGGCCTCATAGTATATATGTATGTGTATATATATATATATATATGCATATATACACATTGCATCACCATACATCCCCGTACTGTTGCACATATCTCCACGATCTCCACTATCTCCACTATCTCCTCATTGTCTCCATTATCCCCATTCAATTATGCTAGTTTGGTTGCATATCCAAGTAACTTACCCATTTTGCCCTCTTGGTTGATTATTAGAATCATTTAGAATAGCTATAACATACTATAACTATACCTATTCACCATAACTATTAACCATAGCTGCCATAGCTATTAAGACCCGTTAAACAGGGACAACTTATGTATTGCTTGGCCGAGGACCATTCAGAGACTGATGAAGCCGCTCGGTGAAGCTCTGGGATCGGAGTTGGAGATTGGATACCAATGTCTACCCGGCCTGGTAAACGTTTACAAAACTAACATAGCTATGGAAAGATCCACCATGTTTAATGGGAAAAGCCACTATTTCGACTGGGCCATTTTCAATAGCTATGTCATATGTGAACTATGGTAAAACTATGGAAAGATCCAGCATGCATTTTTCTTGGGTCCACTATTTCGACTGGGCCATTTTCAATAGCTATGTAAACGTTTACCAGAGGGTAATGGGAATAGCTATTGAAAATCACTATCTTTAATAGGCAAATCAACTATTTTTATGGACCATGTTCAAGTTCGCAAACTCTTTGTGAAAACCCAGTTTGGGTAGGAACTTTGACGGCCATGTCGGATCACAACTTTTGCAAAGGGAGAAGATGATGGTGAGGAGGATGCGTTCGACCATGCACCTTGTCTCCAGATTTGCAAGTGTGGAGCAAGTGAAGCCTTGTAAATCAACAGCATCACCGGAGAAGGTGATCATACAATAAGACATCCAACAAAAAAAATGCTTTTTGGGCATCTGCCACCTACTTGCAATGTGAATCCTGATATGTCCTGATTGGTACTGGCTAACATCTTGTTTGTTCACTCAGTTGGCGGCACATCAAAAAAGGTTTGGGCTTCCATTGACAGTAGGTTGTCTCTGATTTACTTGGGGATTTACAACCCAGTTGCGGCCATCAAAGAATAAGGAACTAGATGAACATATGAGGTTTTAAACTTTTTAAACATGCACAAACAAAATCTTGAGGGCGTTCCGGTGCTCGCATGATTTTCAGCTACCCAACCCAGCAGTTGAGTTCATTTGAACATGCTTGAACCTCTGCAGGGAACCGCTGATGACCCAATGGGCTTGGCGGAGGTTGGCGCCGAATTAGCAGGTGATTAAGGACTAAATTGATTGGGGTTTATGATGGATATATCATACAGATATTGACACTTAGATGAATTCATATTGTGAACGAATTGATGATGTTTTCGGGTGGGCATCACTTTTGCCAATCCCCTTGCCCGACATGGAAGATGTGGAGGGTCAAAGGATGTCAAAGGTCAAAGGCAACCCACTAGAATCACTAGAAAAGTAGCACAACATTTTGCAATGTTGCACAAGGCACTATGTTCCGTTCCATTTGCCAATGCATTGGTCTTTGGGACCAGAGACATCCTTTGACCTTGGGCGACCGGGCAGGCGAAAGAAGGTGAAGAAGAGGAGAACGTGCCTTGAAAAAAGTCTGTTGCGAATAGCTGTCATATAAGTGGACATAATCGGATATCAGCACAGACTTAAGAAATCAATGGAATTCAGCCAGCAAAATAGTGATCTCATCGGATATGGGAATATTTTTGGGCAAAACACATAAAAAAAAAATCATGGGGAACCAAGCATGGATGAAATTGATTGGTTTATTCAAGGGGAAATCCGCTGTTGAAGCCATCAGCACGGGCTTTCTGCCCTAACTTTTCCTGAATCCTGTGAGGATGAAGATGCCGGTGACGAAACAACCAGATATGGTGTGTCAACCCCGGATTTATAAACCTTTAATAAACCTTTAATAAACCATCCATGGTGCTGGTAGAAAAAAGCTAACATGAATGGGGTATATTGATGGGATCCATGTTACCATAGCATACATGGATCCGATGGGTTAGGGCCTACTCCTCCAATAGTCATAATCTGATACTAAAATATACTTAAATGGTACCCTCCCTTTTCTCATCCAGGCTTGACATTAACCAGAAATTGGCTGTGATATGCAGAAACTGCAGAAACGCTCCCCTATGCATGGCACATCACGGCACTGAAAGCCATGGATTTTCCATGTGTTTTTACCCCATGGGTGGATGTGTCAGACAGTGTTCTCTTTATGATGATCTTTGATTGGTGATCAGCTTGAGTAGTGGCGTATTTCTCCGAACATTCCAAGATACTTCTCTGCAAGAGTGTGACTTTGTGTTGTTTCCTTTTTGTTGGGCGATTCGTGTCCTGAAAAATACCACTACCCACAAGGCATAAAACACGATGAACAAGCCTCAGTTGGGCGATCCCACCCCCGATTCATAGGCTGTATTAGTCCGCGGTTGACGTCACTGGTGCCTTCGTTTTCTGTTCCCTCAGATGATGCCAAATGGATACTACAGGTAGAGAAGGGTTGACGCATGTTAAACCTGACAATTAGTATTTAGTTAACATGCGTGTCAACCTTTAGTCAATATATAGTCGGGAACTACAAGTATGATTAAAATCACTAAGTTTAGTTCCTGACTCCTGTACCCTTGCTGAGGATGATAGTCTCGACGAGGACAGTACCGACTACCCGACGGGTGTGGGGCATGACGTGCCACTGCAAATATATTGGGTGTATGAAAACCCTGAAACCAATGGGTATTAATCCTAATCAGGGTTTAAACACAATATAAACCATGTATGGTTTATATTGGGTTCATATTGTGTTTAAACCCTGAAACCCAGATTTTTTAATCCCATGAAACCAATACTAAACCCAAATAAACACCCCCTTTTTGATGGTCCCAAAAGGATCCAACACCGGTGTTTCATGGTGTTTCTATACCCTTCCAAACCATGATTTCTTGGGGTGTTTAGAAGTGATTATTGGTTTTGTTCCATCTTTGAATTGATCATTCTGGGTAAATTATAACGACCTCACTGCGACCTCACTGGAATCATGGTTAATAAGAGGAATCATCCCAAAATGGCTTTATTTCAGGTTAGCGAATTATTATAATTTACCCAGATCATTGAACCCAGATTCGTTCATTGCAGAGAAACATTGGATTTTTGTGGGCGGCAAGGCTGATGCTGCGGAATCCACTGAATCTTCATCCACGGACTCTGAGAGCGTAGTGCCTTTGTCGCGTCGGCATGAAGCGGAGACAAAGTGATCATACCATAATCATACCCCAAATGCTCTATGTATGGTATATTTACCTACATTTGGGTGATTTTGAAGGTAAATGTTAATACATATTCCATACATGGAGCATATGGGTACTTGTTTGGTTGTTTTCTTATGCCTTTCTTGCTAGTCTTAATCCGCGCAATGGCGCTTAGAAACGGCACCGATGTCTTTTCGGACTGCTTTTGGATGAGGATGTCGATGCTGATGCTGCCGATGCCAACATATTACAACCACGCAAAATCTGCTGTATCATGCTATGCGATGCTATGTCTACGAGCCATCAACATTGTAAACCAAGTGTGGGAAACAGCATGAAAGTATGGGGTTGCGAAAGATAATTACACCTTCCAAGGACGCCTCACTGATTCAGGAGAGTGAGGAGGCTGGGGCTCTTGTCGCAATGGAATGAATTGTCTTTGGCTCGGTTGGAAAGATTGTACAGACGATAAATAAACACCCTGCGCATGCGATTCTCTTGAACTTAAACTTAGAAGCTAATATTGGTTCATCAAACTGGGGTAAGGCAAAACACATTACAAGCAGCCAGAAGTTGAAAGCCTGCTTGCATGACATGAGCCTTGCAGAGAAACATTGGATAAGTGGGCAAGGCTGATCATGATGATGATGCCGCGGATTCCACTGACGAGAGCGTGGTGCCTTTGTCGGGATTCAGCGGAGATGCGTTTTTCATGGTAGCATGTCGTAGCATCACATATCCATGTTTAAGTCTTGAGTATGTCTGAGTAGGACCTGAACTGATGTCAGTTGTGTGTTTTCTGGCTGTTCTCACTGGGATCCATGGTTGCTATCGTTCTGGAAAGTGGTGATTGCTGGTGTCATCTGGTGTCATTTCGGACTGCTTTTTGCATGAGGATGTCGATGTCGATGCTGACACCACGGAAATGCAATCCTCTTTCCTTCAGGAGAGTGAGGAGGCCTTGATTGGTGGTCCATTTTCAGCAGCAGATCTGGCAGCAAACAAGATCAAGGTGGAAAAAACATATGTTTATTGGATATTTAATATATTTCACATGTCCCATCATTTCCCTATTATCCTCCCCATTATATATATATATACATCCCGTCCATGTCTTGTTTCTTTCGGAGTGAAGCATGTCTGATTACAGGCAGAGTCCGAAGATGCGGATGATGCAGACGAGGCAGAAGATGTATCTTGTTTGCATGGACACACCCTCTGGATCCCTCTGGTAGTTTAACACAACTATGGAACATCACCAAATTATACCAAATTTAACAGGTAAATGACCCTTAAATAGGCCATGTTCCATAGCCATAGCTATGTGGAATTACTGGAGGCTATTTGTGAAAGAATCCGGGAATATTAAGCAGTAATTCAATATCATTCGTCCGGGAATTAACATATCCTTGAATTTGGTTTCGTTCGCAATACTTAATCTAGTTGGTGGTTTGGAACATTTTTTTATTTGTCCATTCAGTTGGGAATGTCATCGTCCCAACTGACTCACTCCATCATTTTTCAGAGGGGTAGGTATACCACCAACCAGCATTTATAAAATTTATAGTTAGATAATGTTACATTTCTATCCACCAAGCATCATTTATAATAATCCCAACCATCATTTATAGTTGAATTGTGACATGTTTTCTCATTAAGTATTGTGAAGGATGCTGTGAACAGTGCGCTGTGACCAGTGCTCTCCAAATCACAGGATTCCAAGTCGCCAAATTTGAGCGAACTAAAGCCTCGAAAAACAAAGCTTGTGCAGGGTTACACTTATACCATCTTTGTATGCGTGTATATATGTATATTATACATATATATATATACACATCATATATGTATATGTATATATATAATATGGCTTGGAGGATGGCCGAAAAAACGTACCTACAATAGAACGCCCGAAACCATCCCAGCCGTATGAGGCAGAGGAGGTCGATGAGCTGACAGAGCCTTGATTTCGGAGGGGATGGATCAATTGTGCTACGTTCGGTGCTACCCCTGATACATGGATCGATGGTTTAGAAACAGATCGAATTGAATAGTGTATATATATGATAATATTTTAAATTATATTATACATAATATGATATAATATAATAAAAATACAATATAATATGACAAAATATAATATAATATAATATAATACATTATAATATATTATAATATATAATTTAGTATATTTTAACATAGAATATAGTATATAATATGATATAATATAATATGATTTAATATAATATAATATAATTTATTATATGATATAATATAATATAAAATATAATAATATACATACATCACTATTTATATTTTATATTTTATATTATATATACATATCATGATAGACGTTAACTATGAACCATAGTAGTATAGATGTATCATGAGACACCATATCTATATCATACTATGTTGGTCTATCTACCAGAAACTCAAACGTCAGCCTTCTGAAGCAATCTAACCTAGCTAAGTACAGGGGATCAACTTGAACACAAAGGTATGAATCTGGTCAGCCAAGGTATGTTCTGTGAGTTTACTCAACATGGATGGGGTCCAATGTTGACTGTTGATCTGTTTTTTCTCTGGATTAACACCAAAGCGTTTGGAAAAACCACATGTTAAAAAATGATTTGCTCATGATCGGATATTCGGATAACATATCCAAACAGTCACAGTTAATCACAGTTACACGATTTTAGTAGATGTTTGTGCCCACTACACTCACCATCAAGATGGTTTGATGAACTGGTAGTTAACAATACTATTGTTAGAGGTATCCAACTTACCTGATGCACACTATCCTGATATTTCCTGCTATTTCTATATGTGTTTCACAGGAAAAACATTTGGTTTACCATCTGGTTATTAAACATTTCGCCATGGAAAATCACCAGTTTTAATAGGTAAACCATCTATTTCTATGGGCCATCTATACCATGGCAAACTGTTAGTCATAACCAGAGGGTAACACGACAGACTTGACTCTGCTGGGATTCGAAACTCCCAAACTCCCCAAGGCCAAGCTGAATGACTCTCGGCAGTGCTTTCGGATCTTTCGGGTGGGCGGAAGGTGGGAGGAAGGTGGGCGGAAGAAACTCGTTGAGTTTCTGTTGAGATATGGAGGTTCCCTGAAATGGGGGTACCCCGAAATCATCCATATATAGATAGGATTTTCCACAAACCATCCATATTGGGGTACAGTTTTTTTTGGAAAATAGCATATGATCAATAGTTCAACGTAATCAGTTCAACAGGTGAAGACATGTGGCTTACTCAAGCAACCTAGAATAATGTTGGTAAAACAATAAACCATCCCCCAAATCACCATTTTTATAGGTGGTATAAACATGTATAAACCATTCTCAAATGGATGGTTTATTGTTTTACCCACAGTCTTCAGCTGATTCAACTTTCCACCTTTCCTAGGAGGAGTACTCGGTGCCGGACAGCGAGACTTGGCACAAATTTTGAGGGTTACCACTGGACCACATGTGCCATGGTCAAAAGATGGAATTAACCACGAAACTATGGTGATTGTTCAAGGGACACGGACATAGAATGGTGTATACATATATAATTATATTATTTATAAATATATATATATATAGAATTATATATATATATAATTATATAATATTAATATATATATATATAGAATTATTTAGCATTATACAACCAACATTCAACAAGCATTTTCTCAAGAGTTGGGGTATCCAGCGTTCTGAAGCTTGCTGGATTGATGTGATCCATGTTGGGGCCATGTTCCCTGGGATGATGACAGGGCAGAATTCCTGGTGAAGCCTCTGATACTGGTTGGTGGTTTGGAACATGATTTTTATTTTCCCCAATAGTTGGGATGATGATCCAATCTGACGAACTCATATTTTTCAGAGGAGTAGGTATACCACCAATTCGGATATGTGTTTTTTTGCTCCGGATGTAATTGGGATATCATGGCATGAATTTAGCGACTATAGTGATTATTCATGGCATGATTGATGGTATGTTAGCCAACAAAATATACCAATAACATGTAATTTAGCGAATGTCCACTAATGTGATCTTTGGTCCATTTAAGTGGTCAAGATGATGATAATTAATTAATCGTATCAACTTGTATCATTATCAGATTTGGTTGGGAGACATTTCCACTTAATCTAAAACTTGAGATCAAAATCACTGGTTGGCAGAAACCCATATTTAAATAGCTCATTTAAGATTGTGATCCTGTAAATTGATTCATTTTGATAACGTTAAGCACCAACCAGATCAGCATTGGTAAGCACTGGCTGGGTAGGTGATGGGATGAACCCACGTCCCAAGGCATCTCTGCTGCAAGAAGGTGAGGCTCTTCAAAACATCCCACCGGAGCGGCAGTACTTGGGCGATCTCTCCGATTCAAAGGTGCCCAAAAAAAACCAGGGAGGGCGCCTGGGGAATCTGTTCATTTTCCGAAATCCGCGCCGTTTTTAATCGGGAGGTTGTTTTGTATTGTTCCTTTTAGCAACTCCAAGATACCAAAATTGTATCAATTTGTGGTTTATGAAATTGGATATTGCTTTTTTTTAGATGATATATGCGTGCCTCCATAGTCGATAATGGGGAACAATTCATTATTGTGGATCGCCCCTTTACACGACTTTGCACTTTGCATGTTAAACGTCACGCCATATGGCTTTTGACCATTAGCCACGCAGTCCTCAACCCCAAGATTTGAGGTTGATCAACTAGCAAACAGATCTTTTGAAAGAAATGCCCAACTCAAGAATCGAATGTTTCACATGATCCGGGACAATGAAAAACAAAAAATCAATGAAGATCCTACATTTCACCCGGGAAAACAAGAAATCATACCATTTTCTCGCCCTGTTTTAACATGCCGCCGCCATGGCAGGCCCATCCCTATGTCTACGAGACCCGCGAGGCGGCCACTGCGGCTTGCCAAAGCATTGGCTACCGCGGTCTGTGCGGCAAAAGTCAAGTGAAAGGCGCCTGGCAGGGTCTACCCTCCCCATAGGATCCATGGTGCTGGTATATATGCTAACATTGGGGGTATATTGATGGTAAACGTTACCATCTATAGCATACATGGATCCTATGGGCTCTGACAGATGTTGACAGTTTCCGAGCTGGAAAATCAACATTTTTTGAAACACGGTTTAAATCAACGAACAAAACATGAGATGTTTGAATAGTGATATCATATACTGATGTCGAATCTGATGGTATCTGATGGCATTTGGCGTGTCTATGAGATTTGCTGATGGGGATGGATTACAAATGACCCAAAGATATACCATGGGGGGGATGTGAAGCTCCAGCTTTTTACCAGCGGATTTTGATGTGGCAATAGTGGCAACCAATCACACCATGTTTTTTTGACCCATGGCCCATGGCTAAATCACTGAAGATGTGTGTAACAGATCTTAAATCTGTTCAGATTTGATGCTTTTAAGTTAGCATGTCATCCAGCCATGGATGAAGAATGGTCCAGCCTGGCCCAGGCTGGTCCCACTGTGCCTATGGCTGGATGGCTGACTACAAGGGTTATTGGTTCCGGAAATCGAAGAAAGGTTGCGGATCCGGAAAAGGATTCCGCAACGGCAAGAAGGTGAAAAAGCTGGGCGCCTACTGCTGTAACCTTGCGATGAATTCTCAGAAACTTGGCAGATTTTTGGATCGCAAAATCGGCAGTGAACAGTTTTTTCGGAGAGCGGAAGTCGAGTTGGAGTATTTCACACTTTTAAAACAAACCTTAGAAGCCAAGAGATCGTAGACATGGTTGCCAGCAAGCAGTATATTAGTGTTTTTCTTTTTTAAGTGGACGAATCGTCACAGCATGTCACAGCTGTCATAACTTGCCGATCCGGATGGATCATACAGTTGCCACAATAAGATAAACAATAACCCTCTGGTTATGACTAACATAGCCATGGTATAGATGGCCCATAGAAATAGATGGTTTACCTATTAAAACTGGTGATTTTCCATGGCTATGTTAAATAACCAGATGGTAACTTGATTCTTGATTTTGCAAAGAGGTTTCATTTGACAAGAATTTGAACCAAGAGGGGTCTGTTTAGGAGATGTTCACATTTTGTGCTTGTTGTGCTGGCACGCGCTTTTGACATGTTTTTTTGTTGCACTCAGCAAGACGTGTTCAAAGGTTGCACGATTCCCATGTTGCAACTGGAATGCAGATGTATCAAGGGTTTTAAGTTTGTTTTAGCTCTTGGCTCCGGCAGGTAGTTACCCTTCAGTACTCAGTAATCAAACATGACTGCCTGGGAAATCCTTGAACTAAATGGGTGTTCTCTAGCTGAACATCAAACATTCTATGAAGGATTGGACAGATTTCAGGCCACGTTTGACTCCCAGAGGGCACTTGGAGGATCATCCCACGGATCGTCATTGGTGAATAATTCTAGTCTGAAAGTCCAAGTGCCGCGACGACCGTGGGCCGTGGGGTTATCCCAGATCATCGTGAATCAGGCCTTAATAAATTGGTGAACCTAAATACCCGAAAGATCCACCATTTTTCAGTTCGGTAAACCATCTATTTCTATGGGCCATCTATACCATGGCTATGTTAGTCATAACCAGAGGGTATATCTAAATATCACAGGATGGTGCCCCCCAGTTTTGTTAGTGGGTTTATAAACCCCATGAAAACTAGTTCGTTATATCTGCCATAAACCATAGGTTTAATGGGACTTATTTGCATGAACCAGTTACGATCCATGGGATGATCCTCCAAGGTACATCGGCAGCTTGAAGGACCCGGATGTGCCCTGGCGATCCCTGGTGTGTCTGTGTTCATGGCGAGAGTCCCATGGAGAACAGGAGATTCCATGATGAATTCTTGATAGTCTATGAAAAAAAGACGAATTCAGGACCTCAATTCCTCTATAGCTATTGAAAAACCTGGTAATGACTAACATAGCTATTGAAAATGGTGGATCTTTCCATAGTTATGTGAATTTTACAAGAGGGTATGCCATTATAAAGCATTATGAACCATTATTAACTATTATTAACCATTATTAACCATTTAGATGATGATCTTTTTTGGCGTTCTTTTTTTAACGGCCAAAATCCGCGGAGCCGTTTCGCCCAAGCCGTTTCGCCCAGAGGCATTTCCCTACGTCTACTCCTCCCGCTCGAAGGCGGCAAAAGCCTGTCGTAAGGCCGGCTTCCGCGGCTTATGCGCCAAGTCTCAGATCGAAGGCTATGTTCAGCTCCTTGATCGACCTGATCGGGATTGGTCCGAACTGGTGAACTGACCATTTTTTTCGTCAATCATGGATAAATTGGATAACAAACATGCTTTCCCAGAGGAAATGATCTTAAGATGCTTGGCTTTTGCTTGTCGTGAATTTATGGGAGGGCAGGAGAAGGAAACCGGGGTGTTGGGGGAACCCAGAGTGAGATGAAGTGAATGCCGAAACTGGGAGGCAGCACATTGTAGCCATGATATCAGTCCTTTTTCGGAAATCTCCCATCCCATCCCAATGGATGTATCCATACATTCCCATACGGTCCATACGGTCGATGGTGGCCCGCAGTTATAAATTGCTTTTTTAATCCCCATGAAAACTAGATATATCACCAACTTAACCATAGTGAAATTGGAGTTATAAACTAGATATATCACCTATAAACCATAGTTATCACCAACTTAACCATAGTGAAATTGGAGTTATAAACTAGATATATCACCTATAAACCATAGTTATCACCAACTTAACCATAGTGAAATTGGAGTTATAAACTAGATATATCACCTATAAACCATAGTTATCACCAACTTAACCATAGTTTTATTGGAGTTAGTTGCACCAACTGAACGCTATCGTGGCCGGGGGCACATCCCCTTTTTGAAACTCAGCATTTCCACATGGGCACCGCTGGCTGCCGAGGTGCGCGGCCGGATGGCTCTCAGACGGCAAGGGCTATTGGATGGACCGAACGATGAAAGGATGCGGCAACGGACGGGGATTCAGGCGCGGCTGACGGGGATTTTTCACATCTTTTTTTGCATCACGGTGAGGGTTGCCTTAGATGGGTAGTGAAATGTACAAAAAGGTTCTATGGATGTGGATATAGACTCAGCATCTAGAAAACAGCAGGTTCTCGAAGATCCATGGGTCGCCATGCTCAAACCTGTAGCCCTGGACCAAGAGTGGATGGATGACCAATACCCGGAAAAGATGTTTGGTCATTGGCCCCTGTTTTGTGAATGGGTGAGATCGGCTTTGTAAGTCATTCCTGCAGTTGATTAATGCTATCCACGTAAGTGAAATTTGATGCATGTTGATTTATTATCTTCCATTTTTTCCATGTTATCGAAGCTCAAACTGTGCACAAAGATGAAATATCCTCCAAACAGGTGCTGAAGGCATAGTGAGTTATGCAATGTGGTCCCCTCCAGTTGTGTTTGTTGGTTTAGTTTCACGTCAGGAATCAACTAGCTTCTATATATATATATAATTATATTAATACCTTAAACCCACCAGTGAAATACGTTGCGAACTAAACGGACTTAGCCAACATGAAGCAACTATGAGTCACCACTTTTGCTGTTTAAAATCCCGGTTGGAAGTGGGGGAGCACCACTCTCTCTGAGCACTGGATGGCAGCGTGCTACGACTTCCTGTCAGGGGCTGGGGAAAAGGCAAAGTAGGAGCCTACTGTTGCGCGCCCACGGCTAACAACATCGAGTACATTGGGGACTTGAAAGCTGCTTGGATTTCTATGATTGTTGCACTGTAAACAAAATATTAGGATACACATGGGAAGAGAATAGATTATATTATGGCTAAATTATGAATGTTCTATTTGTTGCTGCAGCATAGACAAACGATCAAGCAGGGTATTGACTATATACCCAAAACATTCCAAAACCATGTGGATATGATATGGGTTTCTCCGAACACGGGCTATCCGATGTCTTTATGGTTCATCAGCGTTTCAATTAAACTAGTCCTCAGTGACAAAGAGGCGACAATGATCCAAGATCACCTGGATGTGCACAGTAAATTGTTGGCGTTGTTTCGTTGGATATTTTCAGAGTCAGGATTGTCAGGATTGGCATATTGTTGCATATTGTTGCTTCATAATTTGGGCAACTATTTTCGAACATGTTGGAATATTGCAGCTTTGGAACATGTATTTTTTCCATTCAGTTGGGAATGTCGTAACCCCAACTGACGAACTCCATCATTTTTCAGAGGGGTAGGGCTCAACCACCAACCAGGTTGGAATATTGATGAATTGATCTGCGGTGGTTTTTCCGCCAAGGACACCAAAGCCCATCCATACGTCTTCTCGACCCGAAAAGCGGCCAAGACGGCGTGCAAAGAAGCTGGCTACCACGGCCTTTGCAGCAAGAGTCAGGGATCAGGTGGTGGGTTCTTCACGATCCGGTTGTTTTGTGTTGTTTTGATAATGATTAATGTTAATGTTATCTAATAACGATTTATTGAAGATTTATTGTTGATTATTAGAAATACTTGTTATCTAATAATGATTAATTAATAATGGTTAGTGGTTATGGTAATGGTGAACTGTTAATGTTCATATCCATTCTTAGTTTTGATCTGTTTTAAACAGAGGGGCTGATCCATGTTCATGACGTAAAATCACTTAAGTGGCTATGGCATGGTATTGCTCAAAATGATCACCACAATGGATGTTTTTTCCAAGCAACGACCAGACGCGACGTTTGAGGTGTGTGGGTACCATCAGGCCATCAGGGATCCCAACAGGCCATCAGGGATCCCAACCTGCCAACCATTTGAGCAGGCTTCCACAAATGTGCGGCTGGCTGGTACAGCGACACTGGGATGCAAGTTGACAGAAACAAAAAAGTGCTATGCAGTGCGAAGGCATACCCTTGATCCCTTGAGGAACTTACCTTTTTTTTCAACATTTATAATCGTGGCCCATTTGATCCCATTTGATCCCATTTGTCCATTCGTGGATGATTTACCTCTGGATAATTGTGGTTTTACCCTTTGCGGGCGTTCTTGATTTGCCATTGCGGGAATTGCGAACGAAGATGCGAAGATGCTTGCCGGCGCTAAGGACTACAAGGGCTACTGGATGTCCGAAGGAAGAAAGGGCTGCGGCTCGGGCACAGGTTGGCGAAAGTGGGGTGGGAACAAGGTGCCTCGACGATGATCTGCGGCAGGATGTAAGTGGTGGTCAAGAGATGTCAAGATTCAGGGAAGCATCCCAGAATTACCGAACTGTTCAAGTTGGTGAATGAGCGTAGATTTTTTGGGTTATATATGTTTATAATTGTATATATATATATTATAGAATATTCATGTTGGATCATTTTATCCCTGTTCTTTGACATTCTTCTGATAAATCGTGTAGACTCACCTGGTGTCGTGGTGTCGCAACCTGGTTTTCCTCACCTGCGATCAGGTGGGTGCTTACTGTTGCAACCTTGCCAGCAACTCAAAGTGGATTGGCTCCCTGACAGATCAAACGAAGCGATATGTGTCTTGGATTTCTTGGATGTCTTGGCGTGGCCTGAAGAAAGCTGAGATTCTTCGAGTGGGATATGATATTTGTACAGAATATATATATATATATATATCCCAGCTTAATTAATTAATATGATTTAATATATGATTAATAATTATATTTGTACATCATTCAGACATTCAGACATGGGATATTTGTAGGGTATTAATGGGATATTCAATATCTATCCATATCTAGGATATAATTGATGATATAATTAATAGGTGATAATCCATGATAATCCCTTCCCCCGGTTCATATGTAAAACACCCCCAAACGTAACCATGGTGGATGTAGGGAAATGTAGGGAATTTCCACATCATTGGGACCATACACATAGGGTTTATATTATTGGGACGGACGTATTTTAAACTCGCCCTATTTCCAGATTGCAATTGCTGGACAGATGCAGCCAAGTGAGTTGCATCACACGCAATTCAACACAGCACTTGCATCACGGCCTTGCAACACTGCTTTCAACATTTGAGTGGCATCGGTGTCTTTCAACATGTGCGGCTGGTCACATATCGGAGGGAAGATTGAATCCATAGTCAATCCATACCCCATGACGGATCCATGGTGCTGCTATATATGGTAACATTTACCATCCATATACCCCAAATGTTAGCATTAATATACCAGCACCATGGATCCGTCATGGGTACTGCAGTCTCCGCCTGGGACTCTGGTGAAGCAACTCCAAGGTCTACGACTCGAAAAAGTCTGCAGCAGAAGCGTGCCATGAAGCTGGATATGACCGCCTATGCCGGAAGTTTGAGATCGAAGGCGGCTGAAAAGTTCTCGAGCTGTACCATTTTGATGCAACATCCCGTCGCAGAATCCCCTGTCATGGTTGGGTGTATACTCCATTTTGGGAGGTAGATCCCACAATTCAAAGCACAATTAGTTTGAATCGGCGCAAAGTATAATCAGCCACTCTTGAATCTTGTGGTGCCGATTTGACTGTCGAAATCGTGTTTTGAATGTCGCGTCTTGAAACTGTAAACAACATGGTCTGCTTGTATGCAAATGCAGCCACTGATTTCAGGGTCTATTCTTTCTTTCTTTGTACCGCTTAGAAAATGGACGAGCCAGATAAGACAATCACGAAAGCTAGCGTCAGCTAGCTGGAGTCTTCTTGCTTTAGCAAGTATTAGGGGGGCTGCTCAAGGACATCACGTGATTTTTCACGCGAAAGGGCCCCCCCCCCCTCACCACCACCACCACCATCACCACCATCACCACCATCACCATCATCATCATCATCATCATCATCATCGTCATCATCATCGTCATCATCATCGTCATCGTCCTCTCCATCGTCCTCGTCCTCGTCCTCGTCCTCGTCATCATCATCATCATCATCATCATCATCATCATCATCGTCATCGTCATCGTCATCATCATCATCATCATCATCATCATCATCATCATTGTCGTCCTCGTCATCGTCCTCGTCATCGTCATCGTCATCGTCATCATCATCATCATCATCATCATTCATCATTCATCATTCATCATTCATCATTCATCATTCATCATTCATCATTCATCATTCATCATTCATCATTCATCATCATCATCATCATTATCATCATCATCATCATCATCGTTATTCAATTACATTTTATCATTATTGGCAATTATTGTCATTATCACGAAAGCTAGCGTCAGCTCGCTAGAGTCTTCTTGCTTTAGCACGTATTCCGGGGCTCCCCAAGGACATCACGTGATTTTTCCCGCGAAAGGGACCCCCCCTGCCCCCTCCCCCATATATATCATTGTTCTATATCATATATCAATATATCATTGTTATATCCTCGTTGGGACGAACAATGCCGCGACACGATGATGACAGTCCCTCCGCAACTCACCTCTTCCCTTCCTTCTTTCTCCTACCCCGCTAGCTTTCGTCATCCACCCCCGGCCTCAAGTATCAACATATCCTCAAGCCTATCTTGACAAAAAAAAAAACACCACATCACCATGCATCGACCCATTTTTCAAATCTGACAAGATTTTTGAAGAAGTCTACCCTCTGGTAATGACTAGCATAGCTATTGAACATGGCCATTTATAGTTGATTTTCCCATTAAAAATGATGATTTTCCATAGTTATGTTAGTCTACCAGAAGGTAAGTCCAGTCTATGCAAGTTATAACTATAGTTTTCATGGGGTTTATAAACCCACAAACATCACTGGGGGGCACCATCCTGTAGTGTCAATTGTTCAATGTCCATTTTTTTTGGTGTCACAGGCTATGCCAAATGTGCAGCGGGTTGGATGGAAGACTTCAAGGGCTATTGGTTTGATCGCACCGCGAAGGGCTGCGGAGACAATAGAGGCTATCGTCCATGGGGTCATCAAAAGGCGCGGTCAGCCCTTTCCGCCGGTTCAAATGGTGTACCCTCTGGTAATTTAACATAGCTATTGAAAATGGTTATTTATAGTGGATTTACCCATTGAACATGGTGATTTTCCATAGCTATGTTAGTTTACCAGAGGGTAATTATTAATTGGATGACTTGGGGGTAGCCCATTTTAAGAAACCTCCGCTGGGAAACTGTCAATCTGTTATCCCCAGCATGTTCAAAGGATTGCCTGGTGAATTTCCAAAATTGAGATTCTTAAGGGGTGCCTAATGGACACCCCTTAGCGTTCATGGAGACGGCACACGAGAAAATGATTATTTCCAACCCGAAATCTTCCAATCTCACCCGCGTGGCATCTGTGGTGCACCCGACTTCATTTTTGGCGAGAAGAAATGCATGCGCTTCATTTCGTGTCAGATGTAAAATGTTCCCAAATAAACAAAACTAGTCAAAATCGACACGAAATGACACGCGCAGGGGTTGTCCAAAAAGCATCCGACACGTTTCCAAGGGGTGCTTATTGGACACCCGTTTGCCTAAGGGGTAAACTTTTGCAATCGAATTGGGGTCTCAGGATCTAGATCATGGGTCATAGATAATCAAAATTTAAGTGTGATTTAATGGGTAATTCCTTTCACCGTCTTTCACCCCTTCATGCTCTTGGTAAGTTTCCTGAAATTAATAGAAACTATTTGCCCGAGTTGTTTTCACAATTTTCAAGGTTTTCCCTTTATTATTTCAATGTAGAATTTACTACAATTTTACTATTCACCTTAAATGGTGAACTGGATTGAAATGGTGGTCTTGGACCTTAACAATAAAAGATGCCATGTGTTTGAGGCTTGGATTCGGTTGATACAAAATGAATGTGAAACATATATGTAAAGTTTTTAGTAGATACTTTGGTCCTGATTAGGGTGTCTCTTCAGGCAGCAAATTGTGCTTGACCTTTGTTGAATATAAATTCAAAGAAAGGCGCTTATCAGGGAACTTCTTTGCCAAGCGCATTTTAATTTATTGTTGTATTTAATTGCCTTCGGCAAGCCCGCAGGCCATAGAGAGGTGGCCCCAAGGGAGTTTGATGTGCAGCTTCTGTGTGTGAAAGTGTCTGTGTGTAGAAGCTGCTGTGTGTAAAAAGCTTCCATGTGTAGCAGCTTCTGTGTGTAAAAGCATCTGTCTGTAAAAGTTTCTGTGTGTAAAAAGCTTCTGTGTGTACAAGCTTCTCTATGTAAAGCTTCTGTGTGTAAAAGCTTCTGTGTGTAAAAAAAAATATGTGTGTAAAAGCTTCTTTTGTAAAAGTGTCTGTGTGTAAAGCGTCTGTGTGTAAAAGCTTCTGTGTGTAAAAGTGTCTGTGTGTAAGAGTGTTTGCGTGTAAAAGCTTCTGTGTGTAAAAGCTTCTGTGTGTAAACGCTTCTGTGTGTAAGAGCATCTGTGTGTAAAAGTGTCTGTGTGCAAGAGCTTCTGTGTGTAAAAGGTTCTGTGTGTAAAAGCTTCCGTGTGTAAAAGATTCTGTGCGCAAAAGCATCTGTCTGTAAAAGCTTCTGTGTGTAAAAGCGTCCGTGTGTAAAAGGTTCTGTGTCTAAAAGTGTCTGCGAGTAAAAGCTTCTGAGTGTAAAAGCTTCTGTGTGCAAAAGGTTCTGTGTGTAAAAGTTTCTGTGTGTAAAAGCTTCTGCGTGTAAAAGTGTCCGTGTGTAAGAGCTTCTGTGTGTAAAAGGTTCTGTGTGTAAAAGCTTCCGTGTGTAAAAGCTTCTGTGTGTAAAAGCATTTGTCTGTAAAAGCTTTTGTGCGTAAAAGCGTCTGCGTGTAAAAGTTTCTGTGTGTAAAAGTGTCTGTGAGTAAAAGCTTCTGAGTGTAAAAGCTTCTGTGATCTTCTGTGTGTGCAAGTGTGTAAAAGCTTCTGTGGGGAAAAGCTTCTGTGTGTAAAAAAAACACCAAAAATCCTCCACTCTGTTTGGGGAGAGCTTTTTGGACGGAATCCGGGAAAGCCTCTGTGTGTAAAAGCTTCTGTGTGTAAAAACTTCTGTGTGTAAAAGAGTCTGTGTGTAAAAGCTTTTGTGTGTAAAAGCTTCTGTGTGTAAAAGCTTCTGTGTCTAAGAAACACCAAAAATCCTTCACTCTGCTTGGGGAGAGCTCTTTGGACGGAATCCGGGAAAGCCTCCGTGTGTAAAAGCTTCTGTAAGTAAAAGCTTCTGTGTGTAAAAGCTTCTGTGTGTAAAAGTGTCTGTGTGTAAAAGCTTGTGTGTGTAAAATCTTCTGTGTGTAAAAGCTTCTGTGTCTAAGAAACACCAAAAATCCTTCACTCTGCTTGGGGAGAGCTTTTTGGACGGAATCCGGGAAAGCCTCTGTGTGTAAAAGCTTCTGTGTGTAAAAGCTTCTGTGTGTAAAAGTGTCTGTGTGTAAAAGCTTTTGTGTGTAAAAGCTTCCGTGTGTAAAAGCTTCTGAGGAGTCGAAGTAGGCGTTGGAGCAGGCGTAGGAGTAGGAGTGGTAGTAGTAGTGGTGGTTAGTACTACTACTGCTACTACTGCTACTACTGCTACTACTACTACTACTACTTCTACTACTACTACTACTACTACTACTACTAGTACTAGTACTAGTACTAGTACTAGTACTACTACTACTGCTGCTGCTGCTGCTGCTACTGCTACTGCTACTGCTACTGCTACTATTACTACTACTACTACTACTACTACTACCACTACGACTGCTACTACTACTACCACTACTACTACTACTCCTACTACTACTACTACTACCACTACCACTACCACTACCACTACCACTACCACTACCACTACCACTACCACTACCACTACCACTACCACTACCACTACCACTACCACTACTACTACTACTACTACTAGTACTAGTACTAGTACTAGTACTAGTACTAGTACTACTAGTACTACTAGTACTACTAGTACTACTAGTACATAGTACTAGTTCATAGTACTAGTACATGTAGTACTTTGAGGGGGGGGTGACCTTGATTCAGACGAAGCAAAAACGTGCAGCAAGAGAACAAAGGAACAACCACAAGCCAAGAACAGAAACAAGTACAAACCAAGAACAGAAACAAGAACAACACCTTCCAATCAGACACGCCAGCAGGCCGGCGGATTGGGGCGACGCTGCAGATTGGACATGATTGGACAATTGACTTCTTAGTGAAGAAGTTTGATTCTTTTTAGCAATATTAGGAACCTCTTCGGTGAGCACATGTTGATTTACGTTCGTATGTCGATATTGTTGATTAACTTGAAATGGTTTTTGTCCAAGTGCTGCTTTCAGATTCCAGGTCCGGGTGTGCGTGGACATCTCCTGTCCTGTATAACAAATGTCGTACTTGTACAACTTACAGTTATTTTTTCTTTACCAAGCTTTAACATGCTTTAACATGGTTTCAACTATTTGGGTGGATTTGAGTATTAATTAGGGGGCGGGGGAAGGGAATACTTAAATTAAACCCTCTTTCCATGGAGCTTTCAAAAATAAACATGGGGCCAGACCATGGTAATGGGTGGTTACATTGCCCATTACCAAGTCCACACGAGTTTCCCAAAGGGTTACCCAGGCAAGTTCCTCCCGATCACATGTGCCACCCCAATAGGTAGGGTAGGGTCCACGGTACAGAACTTGGCATTGAAGTCTCAGATTTTTTTGCCAAACAAATCTCTGCGGACTTTGCGTTTTTTTTTTGCGGCCGATTATGGGGCATGAGATCTGCTGAAAAAAATCGGCGGAAAATTGAGATCCTGTGCCCCCGAATCGACTGCAAACAGTTTTTTTGCGGACTTTAGTGTGATTTGGTTTTCGGCGGAACTCCACTGCACAAATTGTGTACCTGACTTTTGCTGAAAAAAATCTCAGCGGAACTTAGTATTCAGACCATTGCCTGGGCGGAACTCATCTTTTGTTTTGTGTAGTGGACTTCTGCTGATTCAATGTTTGGACCTATTTCTGCTGAAAATATTTTTTTTCGGCGGAACTCCACCTCACAAAATGTGTGCTTGAGTTCTGCTGATCTTGTTTTTTTTTTTTCTCGGTGGAAATCCATAAATCTGGTGATACATGACTACCCATGATTTCCTGCTGCATTTTCATTTCTCAACGTGAAATTTAGCCTGTACCAGCCGCAATGGCAAATAAATTGATCTGGAGTCTGACCATGAAAATGGATTAACGTTTCTTGCTCGCGTGGGTATTTGGAATGTGAACAATGTATGCTGTGTACATGAAAAACTCTATGCAGAACAGAACATACATAGCTATGTTCAAGATAAATTACACATATATATATATGTATACGTGGAACATCAAGTAAGTCGCTGTATGTTTCATTTTGGGTTCATTGTAGTGAATTATCTATATATATATGACTATACGTGGTTATAATTATGCATTGGTTTTATTAAAAAATCCTTTAGTTAATAAATCGAAATTATATATATATATATATCTTCTGGCAATGGTTTTTGCCATTTTCAAGTTTCCATCGGATATTTCAAACTGAGTCCTGGCTAACGTCATCATTGACCTTAGCTGGTAACATGTTGAAATAATGAAAGAGGCCATGTGTTTGAGGCTTTAGATTTGGTTGCTTCAAAATGGATGTGAAACTATATGTAAAGTTTTTTAGTATATAGGTAATTGCTTCGGTCCTGATTAGGGATTCTCTTCGGCAGCAGAATGTGCTTGACCTTGGTTGGATATAAACTAGAAAAAGGCGCTTATCCGGGAACTTCTCCACCAAGCGCATTTTCATTGATTTTTGCATTGGGGCGACGCTACAGATTGGACATGATTGGACACTTCCTAGTGAAGAAATTTGATTCTTCTTGGTATTATATATAGGAACCTCTTTGGCGAGCACGTGTTGATTTGATTAACGTTCGTATGCTGTGGTTTTGACCCAAGTGTTGCTTTCAGATTTCAGGTCCGGGTGTGCGCGGGCCTCTCCTGTATAACAAATGTCGCACTTGTACGAATTTCACAACATACAGTTTTATTCCCCAGGGAGTTTTACCTTTGGGGAGCACTCGGATATGAAAAAATAAATTGTTCAATTCAGACCTGACAGTGATGTCCCCAAATCAAAGTCAGCTACCCCACAATCGACTGCAAAAGTTTGGGTGCTTATTGGACACCCCCCACCGACCGACGCGACACTGCAATGACATCGCAATGACACGCATGTTTTTCTTGATTTCCCACAAAAAACTCAAAACCCCTTATGACCGACACGACACGGCAATGACACGAAATGACACGCATTTTTGGAAACAAACGTGTGGAAATCAAAGACAAATGCACATACTACTGTGAATACCTCATTATCTGTTGGTTCAGGACCTTAAAAAGTAAGAGGTGCCTAATGGACACCCGTTCTAGGGGGTGCTTATTGGACACCCGTTTGGACATCTTGGTGTTGAGTTCTTTACTCTTGGAACCAAGACGAAAAAATCGAACTGAGGCAGGAGCTTACTGCTGCAGCCCCAGCACCAATGTGAAATACATTGGGGATCTGAGCACCCTGGAGATATTGCCGCTGAGTCGTTCTCGCTTTGTGGCATGTTCGACAAACAAGTTTTTGGATTCCACGTGCAGTTTCCTTCAGCTGGCTTTGCTACATACATATCACGCCAAAAGTCAAACTTGAAACAGGGGATCAACAAGCCACTATACATCTCACATACTGGTACTTTGACATGTGGAAAAGCACCTAGGCAAATCATTTGCATTTGCAAGAGCTATGTTATAGTATCTTAAAGATAAGAGGGTATGTTTCACATACGATATGTTTCTTTGTTTTGAATTATCGCCTTGTCATGTTTGACACATCTGAGAAAAGCCGAAAAACCATCCCTACGTCTACGAAACGCGTGAGAAAGCTGAGTCTCTTGGTCGCACTGCGTTTTTGAAAACTGCAGTGACTTGCAAGATGTGAAGTTGCATGGCACCTCGTGAATTTCAAGACCAAACTTAGAAGGTGGTGCCACACAGTTAGCTAAGTTGCTTTATAAATTTAAAACATTTTATAACTTTCAGACTCTAATACAACATGATATAGCTTATAACTTCGAAGTGTAGGTCATGGTGTTTACACTGAATGGGCTTCATAAACCAACATAACTTGTGGGCACATCGTGCCATCTCCTCGTCCCTGCGCAGTGGGCTTCATTACCTGGCAGACCATGGCAGGAAAGCGTGCAAGACGGCGGGATACCGCAGACTTTGCTACAAGTCTGAGATCGAGTTCCGCAGCATCTGCGCCTAGGTTTTTTAGTCATGAAAGCCCTGAGTGCACGTAGCTACACATATGGCAAGGCCTGGCAAGGTGTTGTTGATCCGTTTCCACAGAATTCGTATAATGAAATATAGACACATATAAACAATGCTAAACAAGTATGAACGTATACAGCACAATTATACGTATGTCATTATATAATTACATGACAAAAAACCATATCATCTCATCCGTTTGAACAAAACAACTTCAATGAAAATCACGAACATCTGCAGGTGCTGCTGGATGGCTCAAGGATTACAAGGGCTACTGGTTTAAAGAGACCACGAAGGGCTGCGGCTCAGGTCTGCCGGCGGAACATTGGGGGGTTCCCTATTAGTCATGGGGGTAGCCCAAGCGCGCTGGATGGTTTATGGTTTATTTACTGTACTTTATTTCATGGAAGATCCGAACATAAAATGGATGATAACTGTAAGGCTATTTTAGGAAACCTCCATCTACCCTTTGGTCGCTGGTCGCACTGGAAAATTAGGGATTTCAATGGCAAAGATTGGGATTTCACTGACTTACGGCCGTATTGTTCTTGTCTTGAAATGGCTTGGATACCCAATTGAGTCCAAGATGTGTCAAAGGGGATGACTGACCTACCTTCTTTCTGGAAAGATGAAATCTATAGAGTATGTTATGAACATAGTTTCCAAAGATACGCCAATGATTTTGTGTTCTTCCTTGAACATTGACAGATTTGACATGATTTGACTGTGAAAGAATGTGATGTAACCCGCATGACAGGCATGAATACACAACTAGCAGCCATTGGGGATTAAAGCAGCAATAAATTGGATGTGTATCCCCACAAATGGCTGGAATAAGCAAATTCCGCCAATTCCCTCAAGATAGGGGGTTGAGTAACTCAACAAACCCAGCTAAGTCCGGCCACGATACCTTCAGACCCTGAAGGCACAGGCTACCGCGGCTGGGGCAAAGGTAAGGTGGGCGCCTATTGCTGCGAGAAGCTGGAACTGCTGCTCGGAGATCCCCATGGTCGCGGGTTTGAAGAAATGGGCAGAATTCGTATGATTTAGTAGATGTTGAAGGCCATAGTGATTTGGTGTGCTTTGGTATGATTTTAAAGCCCGTAAATCGGGATCTAGTATGATTTAGTATGATTTTAAGTCCGTAGATAGGGATCTAGTATGATTTTGTATGATTTTTCAAGCCCGTAAATATGGATCTAGTATGATCTAGTATGATTTAGTATGATTTTAAGTCCGTAGATGATAGGGATCTCTATAGTATGATTTTGTATGATTTTCAAGCCCGTAAATATGGATAGTTTGGTTTAGTATGATTTTGAAGCCCGTAAATAGGGATTTAGTATGATTTAAAGTCCGTAGATAGGGATTTAGTATGATTTAGTACGATTCAGCCCATGAATAGGGATTCAGTATGACAAATATGGGGCTCAAACCCTATTAATTTAGGGCTGTTGTCCCTATGGACACAGCTGTACCTCCATAGGAATTATGACTGGGATTTGATTTAGGTGGTAAAGTATCTTTTCAGGAAGTGTTTGGATCCATTTTCGGGAGTATGATTTAGTTACGGATAAAACTATAGCAGATACAATATTTGGGTAAACACAATTTATCTGGTTGGTGGTTTCAAACATTAATTTGATTTTCCATTTCATATATGGAATGTCATCCTTCCAATTGACGAACTCATATTTTTCAAGATGGTGAAATTGCACCACCAACCAGTTATCGTTGTGGAAAGAATTATGATTACTGCAGGATGGTGCCCCCCAGTTATAAGTGGGTTTATAAACCCCATTAACTATAGTTATATCTGCCATAAACCATAGTTATGGGACTTATAAACAGACTTAGCTAACTATGGGGCACCACCTTGTGGGATCATTTGGTAAACTCATCATATATCGTTGATCTTCGTAAAGCAAAAAGGAACCTCCAGGCTGAGGAGCTGGAAGCAGTGGTATCCTGTGGTCATGGTGACACGATGTATTCGCGGAATACATCGTTTTTTTTTGCTGTCATTTGATCATTTCATGTCATTTGTACATATGATTTTCAAAGGATTGGTTTTTCAGGGAACATTTACATGTCAGAACATCCATGACTGCCTTTTCATTGACAGTAATGTGTAAATATCTAGCATTGTACATGTTCAATGGTTTTTTCGTGGAACATCATGGTTGGTTGAAGATTTCCCCAACATCCATTTGATAAAAATGTCCTTGCCTCAGGCCATTGTGCCATGAAGATCAACTGTCATCCAGAAAGGGTGTGTGGCGTTGCGATGATTACAGCGGATCGATGCTTGCCATGCGATGATTACCTTTCCGGTTCGCGGAACGTTTTTGGGGATGTGTTGTTTTTTTTTTTGATTTTTTTTGGATCAATGGATTTTTTTGGGGGTTTTGAGTTGCCAAAAAATCAATGGATTGGTTCAAAGGACCATGACGAGAGTGGAAACGGTGTGTTTTTTGGGCAAAAAAATGTTACGGGCTTCCTGTGAATTTCCACTCAAGCAACCTAGTTTTATGATGATTGATGTTTTTTGGTTATTGATTTATGTTTATGTATGCCATCATCAATAAATCATATCCCAGCCATAATTAATTTATATCATCATGTATTATTCAAATGTTGATTGGTTATAGCATTTTTGCTTGGCGAAATCACCATCAGTCGTGATGTTGGGATGCAAAGAGGTACCTGGTATGTAAAATCTCCAGCCTCTGCTGATTTAATATGGCGGGAGAATCAACCTTAGAATATGGGTAAATCATTTTGTTTATCATCATTGTTTATCATCTATAAATGGACCATTTCCCGCACACAGTTAAATAACCAGTTGTTATGTTCAGTGTCAGTGAGCTTTGGGAATGTCACAGCAGGCTGTCATAGATTGCAGCGGTAACGACTGAAGCTGGACCGACTGATTATGGGTCGAAAATAGCAACGAAGCAGCTATCCCAAAGCAGCCTTTTTTCAGATGAGTGAATCAGCATGATTTATCCACATTCTAGATAGATAATGATTATATATTCAATTTAAATATATACAGAGATAGATAGATAGATAGATAGAATAGAATAGAATAGAATAGAATAGAATGATAGATAGATAGATAGATAGGTAGATAGATAGATAGGTAGATAGATAGATAGGTAGGTAGGTAGGTAGATAGATAGACAGATAGATAGATAGATGGATGGATAGATGGATAGATGGATAGATGGATAGCTGGATAGCTGGATAGATGGATGGATAGATGGAAAGATGGATAGATGGATAGATGGATAGATGGATAGATGGATAGATGGATAGATGGATAGATGGATAGATAGATAGATAGATAGATACATAGATAGATAGATAGATAGATATATAGATAGATAGATAGGTAGATAGATAGATAGATAGTTAGATAGATAGATAGATAAATAGATAGATAGATAGATAGATCGATAGATAGATATATAGATAGTTAGATAGATAGATAGTTAGATAGATAGATCGATAGATATATAGTTAGATATATAGTTAGATAGGTAGATATATAGTTAGATAGGTAGATATATAGTTAGATAGGTAGATATATAGTTAGATAGATTCATAGTTATAATTATTACATTGAATGAACGAAAGGACCTATTGTTCCAACAGTTTGGACCATATATTGAACGTGTTCCCGTAGATCCCAGTTTCCCACATATCACGAATCTCCCCTACAACAAAAAGGGGCCCCCCAGATAGCTAAGTTGGTTTATAACTTGGTTAACTAGGGTTTATGGAAAATATAACTAATGCTGTATACCGATTAGTGTCCAGGAACTCTATTGTGAAACAATTTTCAAAAATAGTTGAGTATCTTGTGAATGGGGGGCTGGGCCTCTATTGTGAGAAGTTTTTTCTCAGATCCATTTTTTTTTCAAGAGGAGTTTTATCCACCTTTATACAATTTTCTTTGGGTAAAGCTGGTCCTTTTACTTTAGAAAACCATATCCATGTTAAAGCCTTGAAAATGCAAGGTTTCCCAAACAATTAGATTAGATGCCTTATTAAACCTTTCTTAAAAAAAAACAGCACCCAAACAATTTTTCAAATGGGTACCCCATGAATGACCCAGATCCTCAATAATGTAATTGTTTCGATGGTACCCTATTGTGCACAAAACTTTTGGGGTGATTTTTTTGGATTTAAAAGGAAAATCAATTGAAAGTAGATAGATGTCAATTGAAATCCTTAATAGGGTTTGTAAACCAACTCACAACTGGGGGACCCCCACCTTATAGGTTTTCCCTAACATTCCAAACAAATTTGCACCAGACATGTTCGCAGACATCCTTTGAGGACAGGAGATGAGGCGTCTTGCATTGAGAAATACCAACAGATCGAGGTAGCCGGCAAGACAATGCACTTCAAATGCGTCGCAAGCGATGCTGGTGGAGGACAAAAAACAAATGTTGGGCTTCTATAGGAGGTGGTGCCCCAGTTACTTTAAGTTGGCTGACCTGGAATTCTAAATGATATTTTTGTTGTTGGGTCTCTGGTAGATATACATTTAAAAGCAACAAAAAATGCAAGTCACCTTGATAATTACGTTATTTGGGGATTAAGCAACAAAAAGGACTAGGGGCGCTACAAAGGCTTTTGCCATGAGGATCCTCGTTTCGTCAAGCGCAGTTGACTTGGAAGCTGGGGGATGGATCCCATCTCTCGCCAGGAAAGTTCAATTGCCTTGCCGGTGACAAGTGCCAACCCATTTTCCCTCGCGGAACCATTGTCTGACGACAAGTGATGACATCAAGACCAGGAGCGGCAGATGAGGACGCGAGGGCTTAAAAAAGCCGAGCATCAGCGAGGGCTTACAATGGGATTTTCTCCATGATACACCCCATGTTATGTCATGTTTTTTTGGGAAAGCTGGAAAAACAACATCAACTTTTGTGGTACTCTATTTTGAGACAAACCCAATTTGGAAACCAAAAAAAGTGTTTCCTGCAGTTGATCGCCAAGTCATTGGCGACGTTGCTTCAGGTCATGCACAATTTTTTGTTGGCCCTTTGACGAGGTGAACTGAACTCCGTGTTCGAGATGTTAGATGCCGTGGCAATTTTGCTTCAGACTATTACTTGACATGAAGCATCAGCAAATCAAGTAGACTGAGTAGACTTGGAACATGGCCATTCAGACTACTATTAGACTACTTGACACCTCAAAAGTTTACTCTCACTAAGCAGGTTTCCTAAAATGGGGTACCCCCAAATCATCCCTTTTCATAGGATTTTCCATTATAAACCATCCAGCTATTGGGGTACCCTCCATTTTAGGAAACCCTCAAGTGACTTGACACGACATCGTCACACTTCGCAGACGCTGCGCGCCGCACCGCATGGCATGGCGGAGCCAGAGACGGATAAGACCCATGAATTTCCTCCACATCATCTCATAGGCGGACGCGAGATGTGGATATCATCGGTCAAAATGAGCCATGGCCACCATTTCCATAAGAATGGTAGTTATAGTGGGATTTTTTCAGATTGCCATAGCCCGATGATTATAGTGGGATGATAATAAAGATGATCGATCAAGTTGAGAAAAAACCCTGTTGGGGGTGATGCCGCCATTTTATGTGATTTTCCATTGGTGGGAAAGGGTTTTTTTAGTCCATGATTTTTTTGCACTTCCAAACTTTGAGAGAACCACAAAATCTTCTACATCAAAAACATCAATAGATATCAATCGTGTTTTTTTTTTTTTCGAAATTTGGATCATTTTTTTGAATTTGAACCATCCTGGCCTTGGTTTCTGCTGCCGGACCTGTGTTGAATGTTTGATGCCACTTAAGTGAATAGAGATTTGTTGGGAGGAATAGCGAAGAGCGTTGCAAAAAAGTCACCGGCAAACAATGTTGTGGTAGACGGAATAACAAGCCTACCATTTGGATCCATTTGGGATGATTTTACCAACCACGTATGGTAATATTGATGGATATTGCTAGCTGGTTTATTACAGTGGATTTACCACATTATTATGGCTTATCGGGTTGACTTTTGGGGACTCTCTCTCTCTCTTCCCAAGCCCCAAGCTGGGGAGCACCCGCTAGCTGCATAACAATTTGTGAAGCCCGTGCGTGGGCAAGCGGATTCAAAGTCGCCATCGAGGAAGCCGGAAAGCAGGAGGGGAGAGTGAGGGGATCCTCGTTTCCAGCTTTCAACACGACATGTACCCTCTGGTAAACTAACATAGCTATTGAAAATGACCATTTATAGTGGATTTACCCATTAAAAATGGTGGATCTTTCCATAGTTATGTAAACGTTTACCAGAGGGTAGACATGGCTTCCAGCATCTTCCAGTGGACATATCATGAGCAAACCGTTGTGACATCCATGTGACGACATGGACTGTGACTTGCGCCAGGGGAAGAAGGCGAATAACAAGAAGCGATGCTCCCAGACAGAAGAGGCCGGCCTTTTTTGAACATCACTTCTCTCTAAGGCCACATGGACAGTTCAACCGATTGCCTTGGGAGCTTCGGACTTGATCAGGTGTATATATACGTATATATATATATATATACATATATCTTAAAACCTATATCCAACTGTTGGTTATAGTCATTCACATGCTACAACAAAATGTGTAACCCCTTTTTTTTAATTCCCATTCATATCCCATCAAATGATGTACCCTCTGGTTATTTAACATAGCCATGGACAATCCATAATAAATGGAGGTTTCAATGGGAACATCATCTATAAATGGGCAATTTTCATCCATTTTCCATGGCTATGTTAAATAACCAGAGGGTAGATCTTGCTCTTGCTGCGCTGGCGGTGCGTCAGGAGCAGTGTCAGCATGATGAGCAACCTCACCATCGAGGCAGAATTTGGCGAATGGACAGGGGAATGTGGCGCTTAAATAGTCATGGTATTAGCCAGTCATAAAGGATATAATAACATAATATATAATATATATGATTTAAATTTACATATGTATCATTATTACTATATATGCATATTATCAATATATATATATATATATATATTATATACCAAGACCTTCCAAGCGGCTACGTTTTGGAACCCTATCGAGTGTTCTTGAAGGGGCTATATACGTTTCGACACCCCTTAGCCGAACCAAAAAACACAACAGGATATGGTGACAACGATGCTGATAGCACCATTTTTGGGAGAGATGGTTGGAGATGAGCTGAACAACAAAAACTTTGATTTTGGGAAATTCCGACACGCAAATGACATGCGACTCCCTGGTAGTGACACCCTGCCGACACGCATTAAGGGGTGCCAAAACGACATCCTTAGCCTAAGGGGGCTGCGTTTTGGCACCCCTTGCACATCCCCCCGACACGCAAATGACACGTTTGACACGCGCCGTTTTTGGGGTGCCAAAAAAATCTCAAAAGCATTGCCTCCGTGGCCTCAGATAACAAAGATGAAATGTATATCCCAAAACAGGTTGAGAAACACCTTAGAAATAAAGGGGCGTCATTTTGACACCTCCTCCCTAAGGGGTGCCGTAACGGCACCCCTTGGCATGTGCTGGTAGCATATTATATTATATGATCCAAAATCATATATGCATATCAAAAAAGGGTTATCAGCACTACTTTTTCTGACTCCTTTCTGCACATTCTTCAGTATATGGACTACCCGCAGGTAGTCCAAAAAGGCAATGGACAATTCACCATTTACAGACGTGTCCAATTCAAACTCTCATTATAATTGATTTTCCCAGCTATAAACCTCCATGTTTGCCAGCCATGTTTGATGACAACGGAGGGTACCCAACCAGTTGTAGCGTTCACATCGAGTCGAGTCACCCCTGAGGCGCTACAGTTTCTTCTGCAACAGCCAAGGCCTGGGATGTTCCCCGTTCCCCTGGCGATTTTGTTGGCCGGGGAGTGCGGCCTGAGCTGAGCCATTGAAGTGGGACCACAGATTGACTTGTCGATTTTTTTTGTATCACCCTCTGGTCAACGTTTACATAACTATGTAAAATCACCATTTTTCATGGGTACATCAACTATTTCGACTGGGCAATTTTCAAGTTCGCTATTTTGACATGAGGGTAACATGTATTAACCATGGAATTCTTGGGCTACCCACTGACTTGACCATACTTGACCCATAGCCCGTACTGCATGGTGAGTTTCATCAACGCCATCTACATCCATCTACCGTTGTGGTAATTTCTTACATAGCTATTGAACGTGGCCCAGTCGAAATAGTGAGTTTTCCCATTAAACATGGTGGATCTTTCCATAGTTTTACCATAGTTCACATATGACATAGCTATTGAAAATGGCCCAGTCGAAATAGTGAGTTTTCCCATGGAATCAAAATGGTGGATCTTTCCAGTTTCTCCGTGAACTTCCAGAATTCTGCTGATTTCTGGCGATTTTTTCAGAAGTTTCAACCAGTTGATCGGGATGGATCCCCCAGGGTTAGGCCACTAGTCTCAACACTTATTTTGGGCCCAAAAAGGCTCAACAGAATGTTATAGTGCTTGGTGGTGACTGGAACCTATAAATGGCTGAATTCTATGGTTTATGGTAGATATAACATGATATAACGAACTAGTTAATGAATGGTATGGATTCAGAAAATCCAAGTACTGGCATGTGGATATGGATCATTATGGATCAATGATCAATGATGATCAATCGATATCGCAAGTGAAAACCATACTGGTTGGTGGTTTGGAACATGAATTTTACGACTTTCCATATATTGGGAACAATAATCCCAACTGACTTTCATATTTTTTCAGAGGGGTTGAAACCACCAACCAGTATAGCTCAGTTATGCTCAGTTGCTTTATAGTTAATACATACGAATACGGCTATGGATTGTGGTAGATCAATGATGATAAAGTTACTAGTTAATGGCGTTGCTAAACCAACAAACATAACCAGGGGACACCACAGTGTAGCATGGGTTGCGAACCAGGGCACTGGTCTGAAGACGGGACAAAAAACATCGAACTGCACCGCATTTTTTTCCTCGCAGGAATCGTTTACTGATTGAAGAGTCGCATGAACTGCAAGCGGGCAGCTCAGAAATGTCATGAGCAGGGGCTGCTAAACCCCTGATGGTTGAACTTTATGGAACATGGAACATGGTATGAACATGGTATATAATATGGCTATGTATAGGCTTTAAAGAGCAGAAATGAAAATATATACTATGAGGTTTCAAAACCCTTGATGGTTGATGATTATGTGGGGGGGTTATACTATCCTTTATATATTGAACTTATCACAATCCATGAGCTTGGCACATGTCCAGCAAGTCCTTGCCGGGTTGATGCCTTTGCACATCATGAAAACAGAATGCCATTCGGGAGTTTCTTACATTGACTTTTTTGAACCTGAATTGATGTTTGAAATTCCACTAGTGTTTCCTATGGTTCAGGACAGCTCGATATGACCAGATAGCAGCTGATGTTGCAGTAGGTGCTTCAAAAATCCTCCATGCAGCCGCAGTTGGGATTTGCAACCTATAACAAAGAAGTATTGCAAAATAGAGTCTAGTGGTTTCCTAAGTCATGGGGGTACCCCCAATTAGATAAATAATCTATGTTATTTTCTGGTTGTCCATAATCAACCATTCAGTTTGGGGTACCCCCATGTTTTGGAAGCTCCAAATAAAGATCTGTATTGTGGCACGTGTTTTAGGATAAACTTTTATTCTTACCCAGTGCTTTGGCTGCAATGTGTTCGCACTTATTCTCCATAGGGCCGTTCTGTGGCCCTCTGAAAACACAGCTTGACATCCTACAGTACAGCATGTGCAGTTGGACATATCCAAACATATACCATCCCTCAAGTTTACATAAACCCTGCGAAATAGGCGGGTGTAAGATTAGTTCCCACTAAAAATCGAAGAATGATCCATTTTCAGGGTCTATGTTACTTTACCGGAGTGTAATCTAGCTTGTAAAGATCCTGAAGATAAGACATTTGAAGTTTGCAACGTGTTATTTTCACCTTGGATATATTTTGCTCATGAAATTAGTTGACATCTGGAAAGGCTGGCACACAGATGGGGAAGTACATGGAGCAGAAGGGGCGACAATCTCAGCTGCAAATGTTGATAGCTCTTATCAGTAGATATATGATGATTGGATCCACTATATAATCTATATAGCTATATATCATATATATCTATACTATAACTTACTATATAACTATATTATACTATATTTGCTCAGGAGATTCCACTCCTTTTGCTGTTGGTGTTTTCAAGAAACTGCGCCATACGTTCGCATTTGTGTGGCAGCGGCAGAGGCAAGAGACCAATGTCTTTCAAAGAGACGCAAGTAGGCCGGGCGTTTGGCACTTTTTGTCAGAAAACCCCCATGGTTCTTGTCCCAGTGCTATGTTGGTTTCATCCCCTACATCCACCATTCTTGGGGGTGTTTAATACTAGGGGGAAGCGATCTAAATGATTTAAGTATTTACATGACCAATCATATAATTATAAGTTATATTCCATTATCATACCCATTCATACCCATGAATACAACTATGTATATAATGGTATATTCCATGGGTACAAGCTAATTTTCCCATTAATACCCTTCAATATTCCATTCGAGGGAAGGGAATCGATCGCCTGACAGGCCAGCTGCCGGCTTTCTGCGACCATTTAGCTTTGCTCGCCGTGTGGTCTACGAGGCTCGATAGTAAAACAGAAGTTACCCGGCCTGGAAAACGTTTACATGGCCACGGAAAATCACATTTTTTAATGGCTAAATGTTAACTATCAATGGCCATTTTCAATAGCTATGTAACAAATTACCAGAGGGTAGCCATTTCATATATATTTGAATAGACCCCTGATGATGGGTCAATGTAGGTTGGTTATAATTGCTGGTTCGTTGGGAATTATGAACTAACTCTAACTAACCGTCACAATTGTGATTCCATTCTTAACCAACCAGTATATTATTTGTCTGGCATGTGAAAACCGGAGATAACTTTCTTGGCTCACTTGCGATGTTTGAGATGTGTGAGGCGGATATGATGCAGTTCGAAGCGGTGATACTGTTGCAACGCAAATCTTGGTGGTTTTTGAAATGTGTTTTATGTTCCATCCTACCAGTCATGATAATCCCCATTGACTCATAGTGACAGCACGTAAACCTGGCTACTGGCATAGCTCCGTGAGTACTGCAAAGTGCAAAACTGACTCATACTGACCCAAAAAATCAGGGGGCTGAAACTACCAACTAGCTTTGATTTCTGTGTGTGATTTTTGTGAAATAATTAACTTTGAGACATAGACTGAAGACAATTCTGGCAGAAGAGGGTATGACACTCAATGACTGGCACGCAGGAGTATGATGATGGGTTTTGACCGTTTGAACTGAATGAACGTCCATTTCAGTCTATTTCGTAGAACAAACCATGTAACCATGTAATTACCGCGGAATCATACATGTTTGCTGTTGTTTTCGACGTTCACCGTGCTGATGTTTTCTCCATGTGTATGGAACATCATGAAACATCATAAAAATCCGTTTCTGAAGTTATCAGTCTCAATTTTCTGAATCATTTTCGATATATTTATATATATATATATTTATGAAACATGTATTTACATTCAGTATTGTCTCTTCACTTTTCACCGATCCATAGGTCTTTCTGGCTTGGGCTGAACATATCGCGCAGATGAAGGAAGAGGACGTGCAGCACGGGTCATTTTTGTTGATTCCATTGATTTCCTATTTAAAAAAGGGATACGGAGGAGAAAAGGGGTTAAAAAAGGACTTCCTGGGTCATTTTTTCTCCTTTTTTGCAGATGCAGATGTTCTGGTTGGTGGTTTCAAACATGAATTTTGTATTTTCCATTTCATATAATGTTGCGTCCTGATTAGTGTGTGGCCCCCCCCCCCCCAAACTATTTCTGGACTCTCTTTAAAGTAGAAAGTCAAAAATTTCTTCCCAAAAGAAAAACATATCCTCAATTAAGTAAGGATTTCAATTGGCTACAATTGAAATCTAATTACTATTGTTTTTTTTTGCCGATGAAGGTATTTGTAGTTGTAGTACTTGTAGTACTTGTAGTACTTGTAGTACTTGTAGTACTTGTAGTACTTGTAGTACTTGTAGTACTTGTAGTACTTGTAGTACTTGTAGTACTTGTAGTACTTGTAGTACTTGTAGTACTTGTAGTACTTGTAGTACTTGTAGTACTTGTAGTACTTGTAGTACTTGTAGTACTTGTAGTACTTGTAGTACTTGTAGTACTTGTAGTACTTGTAGTACTTGTAGTACTTGTAGTACTTGTAGTACTTGTAGTACTTGTAGTACTTGTAGTACTTGTAGTACTTGTAGTACTTGTAGTACTTGTAGTACTTGTAGTACTTGTAGTACTTGTAGTACTTGTAGTACTTGTAGTACTTGTAGTACTTGTGGTACTTGTACTTGTAGTACATGTAGTACTTGTAGTACTTGTAGTACTTGTAGTACTTGTAGTACTTGTAGTAGTACTTGTAGTACTTGTAGTACTTGTAGTACTTGTAGTACTTGTAGTACTTGTAGTACTAGTGGAAAAGCTGTTCTTTAATAAGGGTTCAATATCCTTTGGGAAAGGCTTGGAGTTTGAATTTGGCAATTTTGGAACAGGCTTGCTTCCCTTCTGGGCTTCCAGGGGCTGCTCTGGCACAGCTTGCTGCAATAGTGAACCCAGCAAACAAACCTACTAAAGTGAAATGGGGCCTCTCCTGGTCCAGGGCCTTGGAAAATTGTGGAAAAGCTGTTCTTTAATAAGGGTTTAATAAGGGATTGGCTCCTTTGGGAAAGGCTTGGAGTTTGAATTTGGCAATTTTGGAAAAGGCTTGCTTCCCTTCTGGGCTTCCAGGGGCTGCTCTGGCACAGCTTGCTGCAATAGTGAACCCAGCAAACAAACCTACTAAAGTGAAATGGGGCCTCTACTGGTCCAGGGCCTTGGAAAATTGTGGGAAAGCTGTTCTTTAATAAGGGTTTAATAAGGGATTGGTTCTTTTGGGAAAGGCTTGCAGTTTGAATTTGGCAATTTTGGAAATGGCTTGCTTCCCTTCTTCAGGGGCTGCTCTGGCACAGCTTGCTGCAATAGTGAACCCAGCAAACAAACCTACTAAAGTGAAATGGGGCCTCTACTGGTCCAGGGCCTTGGAAAATTGTGGGAAAGCTGTTCTTTAATAAGGGTTTAATAAGGGATTGGTTCTTTTGGGAAAGGCTTGCAGTTTGAATTTGGCAATTTTGGAAATGGCTTGCTTCCCTTCTTCAGGGGCTGCTCTGGCACAGCTTGCTGCAATAGTGAACCCAGCAAACAAACCTACTAAAGTGAAATGGGGCCTCTACTGGTCCAGGGCCTTGGAAAATTGTGGGAAAGCTGTTCTTTAATAAGGGTTTAATAAGGGATTGGTTCTTTTGGGAAAGGCTTGCAGTTTGAATTTGGCAATTTTGGAAATGGCTTGCTTCCCTTCTTCAGGGGCTGCTCTGGCACAGCTTGCTGCAATAGTGAACCCAGCAAACAAACCTACTCAGATAGAGATGCATTTACAGGCTCAGATAGGGAGATGAGCAAAAAATTGACTGAGCTACAGCGTTTTTGAGAAAAAATGCCTCTCAGCAATTACAGTTTTTTTTGCAAAAAAAAGGGCTCTCCCAATTTTGTTTTGCCACAAAAGCGAACCCTCCAAACAATACATGAGTTTCAGAATAATTTGGAAAAAATTGCCACAATAGCGACCCTAGGTACTAATCAGGACTCAACATTATGGGATAATGGGACAATCATTTTCCCATTGACGAACTCCATCATTTTTAAAGATGGTTATTGCACCACCAAGCAGAAAACCATCATAAACCATCATAAAACCATCATTGTTTTTGTGTTCCTATTGTGGTTGTGGTTTTGTTGCTGCTGGTTCAGCTGTTGAGCGTGATCTCCAGGGAATTCCTCGAAGAAGAAAACGCTCCTCCTCTGTGTCACTTGGCGCCCAGCGGAGCTCGACAAATTTGAGCAGCCTGAAACGTTGATACCCCTTTTGAAGTTCTATACAAGTTATGGAAGGTAATTTGTAATTTATTGATATTTACAGTATTGATGTCTTCCATGTGTTGGAAAAGCAACCTTAAAGAACTTTCAATCGATTCCAATTGCCAGGGAGCCATCACCGCCCTGGGATTCCAGCTGAGGCTGTTGGTACGTGATATGGATGTCTCTGTTGCCAGCTGGAAACTCAGCAGTAAACCCTCAGCAGTGACGGTGCAAGCCGAGCGGAGCCGAGCGGAGCCATTTCAGAGTTTCGGTGCAACTTGACATAACTTTGAGTAGATTTAAATCCTCCCATCTTGGACAAAGCCATGAAAATAGAAATGATATTGAAATAATATATATATAATATACTACAATATCATGTTGAACTATGTTTTTCACTCTGACTGCATGTATGTCCCATTATCCTATCACGTCCTTCTGGTTAGTTGTAGTTTTTACAGCCCAACTGTTTCGAATTCTACCTTTTGTGGACAAGACTTGGAGCTGGTCAGCAAAGTTCAGCTGGTCATGTCTCGCCGAACCCTAAGACGCGCGGCTTTCCGACTCGTCCTCATCAGAAGATGAAGATTTTGGAGAGTCCATATTCGACCCGTTAGCTTGAAACTCAGTGGAAGTGGACGAAACTACAGCAACAAAACGGGTTTGACATGGTTTTAACAATAATGGGGTATAGTCGTTGGTATATATATATATTGGTATCCAATTGCAGGAAGATTACACTACAGGTAGAGTCAAGATATTGGAGAAGAAGCTGATTGGCAGATTCTCCTAAGGACGACAGGGCAAGTGGAATTGGGAAGTACTGCATCCAACAAACAGTCCTCCTGTGGTTGCTGGAAGTGAGAGTAGAGGAGAAGTCATGTACTTCAGATACTCCTAGTAGGAACATGTAGGAACTGTTTATTTCTTAGCATGTTAATGCAGGTTGTTTTACGTGCAATGAACTTTCTGTATGAAGAGTTGAAACCTGATTGGTCTTTGTCATGTTAGTCCGTAGCCTAAATCAAGTTGTACAGTACAATGTTCATCAGTCCACTTCAATTGGAGGTCAATGGGAGTGTCTTGTGATGAGACCCAGGACAAATCAAAGTAACATCAGTAATTAACATCATTGCAAATCTCATGTCCTGATATTGGGGGAAGGCCTTTTTGGTTGTTTCAATGAACAACTTTTTGTCCATGATCATGAGTGTTTTTTGGATGTATGGGTTGGACTGAAAACAGTCCTTGGCCCAGTACCACACTCTAATCACATTGTTGCAACATATTTATATCTGGATGCCCCACTAATTACATTGCATTCCATAAAATGATGGCTTTTGGTGCCCCATGACCTTCCAATTTCTGATGCAAAAAAACGCGCCCAACGTTGTCGTCCATCCAAAAAAACGTGAACGTTTCTTCCCTAGAAAATGTTCATGGAACGTCGGTTTTGTTTCCATTCTCTGTTTGTTATCTATCTCATGAATCGTTGGTTGTATGGTAAAAAAATGATGGTGTCTACAAGCCATTGTGAAAATTCATATCCGCGGAACTGCAATTTCCTATCCCGAAATAATCTATGCATTATCTATAGGGCTATGAAATATCCTATGTTAGATAGTTTTATCATGGTTTATCCATAAATTATCTATAGTGTTATATTATATCTACCCATATGGATAATATATTAAATATATGTTGATTTATCCTATTATATCCTCAAAAATATCATGTTATATTATACGATAAAGTTGGATATAATATGATGTGGTGGATCATTAATATGATATAATATTAGATGATTATACCCATATATCCAATTATATCCAATTATCATATACCAATATTATATGATAAGTTGGATATATCATGTTATAAACCATTTTAAATTCATATATCCAACTTATCATCGATGTTATATATGATTATATATGATATATCCAACTTATCATGGGTATAACATCGTTTTATATGTGTTCTACCCATTTTAAACGATGTTTTTTTTTCCATCCGCCCGGTCAAACCGCCCACAGAGCCCAAGTCGTCCAAGGTCTTGGATCCCGAAGACTTGCACAGCGTCCGGGGCGCACAGCACAGCGTCCGAGACGTGGGAAAGACGTGTTAAATAACCAGATGGGTTTTCCATGAAATAAACCATCCATAGGGGAAGGATATGTTGTATGTATATATATATATATACATATATATATATATATATTTATCTGGGGTCTTGATATGATTTACCCTCTGGTAAATCTAACAGTTTGCTATTGAAAATGGTGATTTATAGTGGATTTACCCATCATAAATGGTGATGTTCCATAGTTATGTTAGTTTACCAGATGGTACATATCTGGGTAAATTTGATAACAACCTCACTACGACCTCACCATAGATGATGGTTAATAAGTGAAATCATCCCCACATGGCCGCAAGATTCAGGTTAGTGAAATACTGTAATTTACCCAGATATATAGTATATACATATGATATGATATAACCTTTAAGTATTTGGAAGAACTGTGGATAGTTTAATATAGTTCAACAGGTTCAATATGATGTGCAACAGGTTTTGAAAAGGAATTTATGGAAATTGAACCAGTGAACACGGGATATTTCATGGGGATATATCCCTTAGCTATTGTGTGGGATTTATTGAAATTACTGGGATATCAATGGGATTGGCATGTTTAACCTCATAGAAGCCAGCATTTTCTGGTGATAGATGGGGATATGATGGGGATATAGTGAGGATCGAATTGTTGAATCTGGGCTGAAGGTGACCTTTGATTTTCCAGGATTTACCAGAGAAGCTACTGGGGAGATCATAAATTTGTTTGGTCCAGCCAATCCCAAGTGGGTTTGTCCCATGCAGGATGCCTTAGAAAATGATCGTACTTGGATTGGGGGGTCGGGGTTGCCCTATATATAATTTAAGAAATCCAATTGGGCCAGAAAAAAGCTGAAGCATTGGAGCACAAAGAGAGCCATCCCAATGATGAGGAGCGGATTTTTCCTCAACCTGGAATTGCTGAGTCGATGACATATAGCATGGCTTAATCCGGTTAATCGACCAGAACCTGGGAATGTACTGAGTCTACTGGGAGCATGTGTTTTTTCTCATGTTCCATCAGTTCCATCAAGAAAATGATTGGAAGACGACCGGGCAATCTACTTCATTGTCTCAATAGGAAGATGCCTTGAGCAGTGTTCAAAACTCCTGTTCGTTGATGGTTCGTTCGGGGATTATACTACGTCTCTGGTAAATTAACATAGCCATTGAAAATGCCCATAGAAATAGTGGATTTACCCATAAACAATTGTGATTTTCCATAGCTTTTTGTTAACGTTTACCAGAGGGTACCTTCATTTGAGATGATCGGAATCGAAGAGCTGGTAATCCCGTTCTCAACCGCACAGTCTAAAGGGAGGACAGAGGGTTTTGAACACGGTTTCTCACATGTTTTTTGGTTTGTTGTACGACACTTGGCACATGAATTCCATTTTTTTCATGATGAAAAATGTAGACATGATGCTTAAATCCCCATTACCATCACCATTTCTGTCATACCAAATGATATAAACTTATCCCCAAAAAAGTAGAACAATAAATCCCCACTGAAATCTTTATAAGCACCACTACAGATCCGATCATATTGCAAGTATTTCATATTATATCACCAAGTATTTCACAATCAAATTCCAATATTCCAAGTATATCACCAAGTATTGGCACATTCCAAGTATGTCAACATACTTATTCTAAGTAATCACTTATTCCAATGTAAAGTTGCCATGCTTCCGCTTGTTTCCCAGGTTTTCCGCGTTGGCAGCCTCATGGCCAGTGCCAACAAGGCGCCCGCAAGTTCGCAGCAAGGGGTCCCTGGATCCAGTACATGATATTGACATACTGATGTGGGTGTGTATAGTTAGTATATATTAGTATGTGTATATAATATATACACATGTATATATATACACATATACATATATATATATACATATATATATACATACATGTATACATATATATATATACATATATATATACATACATAAATATATATATATATATACATACATATATACATATATATATACATACATATATATATATACATATATATATATACATATATATATATATACATTATATATATATTGTGAGGCAACATTTCCAACACGTGAGTCGAAATTCTAAAATCCAATGGTTTGCTATACTACCCAGCATTTGGCACAGTAGCCGAAGTAGTATTAAGATGATGACGGCCAGGGAATTTCCACGTCACCAACTGTAGGGTGCAGTTCCACCAATAAGTGGGTTGTAAGTTGTACTTGTTGGGGTTATATCCCATCTCACGGAGATTAGAGTCATTAGAATCATAACCACTCCTGCACCCCCAAGTTGTCAACCTTCATCAACCTTGCCAGAGGCAAAACAAGAGGGGCAGGCGGTGTGGAAGATATTGGAAGATTGGGCGGGGCGTTGTTCGGCTGAGAATCTAGTTAACAGGAGCTTGCAAAGGCGGAATTTATCAATCAGTTGTTTAGGAATACCTTTGGAGAAGTTTCGAAAACTAAGTTTACTCCATCAACTAAGGCTGCTTTGCGACTGGTTTGTGTTGATGGATTAAAGCACAGACCATGCGTGCAGAAAAGCATTTGTGGCGAGTGTGTGCATTCCGTAGTATTCTCGAGAAGATATTATCTTGATATGATATTTATATTAATATACGAAGGAATGCTAATTTAATATACGTTGAATAATATATGATATCATATTCTCAAGAATATAAAATATATTCCTTTGTATTCTACTGTACATGCTTAACCTTTCCAACGCTCAACTGCAATCATCATAAGTTTCTTACATTTGAGTGAAGCCTAGGAGACAAGACACTGCCGCACAGCCTAGATATCCAAACAGGACAGCAAAAGGGAAACCAAGAGTGTGATTTGAAGAGATTAGTTACCAAATATACAATGGGATTATAAATGAGGTGGTATTAGATGATGTTATATATATATTGTTCATTGACCCCCTTTAAAAGGAATGATAAAAAAATGGGTTTTGGAGAATAGTAATGCGTGTGTAATATGTTTAGACAAGATCGATTTGCCTTCGTCTGAAAGCAGGCTACCCCATTATTCAATGGTTATTTGGGGCTAGCATGATATTCCCATTATCTTCCATTATCTCCCGTATACTGCACCTCCATTTGTTGAACAAAAAACATATCCCATGAGCTCGCCATGTAGATATAGAAATCTATCCATTTACACCCTTACATCCCATTAATGTGTGTAGATCTCAATATACGTCTAGATTTTCATGTAAGAAGTGACGTCCATTCTGTATATTCCAATGTTCAATAATGTGTATATGTCACGTAGATGTATCAACATTCTTTGGAATTCTGTCCATCTCAGATGTGTAAAAAAATCTGCACATTCAAGCAAACAACACAGCATGGATTGTAGAATTTACTCATTCTACGGAATAAATTATAGCCATGGGTATGGGTCAAAATTAGGTAGCCCAATAATTAGCAGGTTAAGACTAAACATTAATCCTACCATCTGGTTATGACTAACATAGCCATGGAAAATCACCATGCTATTAATAGGTAAACCATCTATTTCTATGGGCCATGGCTTCCATGGCAAACTGTTAGTCATAACCAGAGGGTATATGTAGATATACATCGTCCCATGATCTTCCATATAGTTTCAAATCCCATAATTAGAAGGTTAAGAGTAAACATCATTAATCTTAGTCCATCATTAATCCTATAATCATTGGGTTAGGATTAGTCCCATGATGGAAATGTTAGGAGTAATGATGGATTAGTCTTAATTAATGGTTAAACCCATCATTAATCCTAACATTTCTGGTCCCATAAGCCTGCTGGCAGGTTTCCCCTCGAAGTGGCTGGCGCACAGAGGTGGGACCGAACAACGACGACCTGGTTGTTCCGATGGTGGATGAGGAATCATCGGAGAACATGACGATGGGTTATTATGGATTAATCATCCAATGAATTATGATTTTTCATTTTTTGGGCAAATTATCCCATAGTTTTTAGGCTTTGCTATGGTGGTATCATCCCATAATAACGACTAATAACATGATAATCACACTACTACTTGTTATTATTAATATCCCACAATCCCATAATGAGCTTGTTCAAATTGTTGAATGTTCTGAATTATCATAATTCATCCAAATACCGACGCAAATATTGTAATTGATTTACCTACACTCCGATAAATCATCACATAACATTTTACGTAAGATTTTAGTGTGAGATTTACTACACACACATAAACTATCCAAAATTGGCCCCTTCTAATATTAAATCCAACTTGGCTATCAAAGAAGCTTCAATTTTTTGCTAGATGTGTATTGGCTATTTAAAGATAATTGCGAATAATTGGCTATCAAAGAAGCTACTTGGTGGCTCATCCCACTTAGTAAGTAGGTTATAACCCCAGTTGTAAATGGGATAAGTAGGGTTAATCCACTTATAACTGGGGTTATAACCTACTTACTAAGTGGGATGAGCCACCAAGTATAATTCAAATTAACAGCAGCTCCAGGCAGCCGCAACTGAGAGGAACAGCTTCGAGGAGCCTCAGCTTCGACATGATCGAAACCATGGCTATTTCAATGGGGAAAATGATCTAAAGTGGCAATTTCAGTATATTCTTATTGGTGCGTTTTACGTAGGGAATGGATGGGTTGCTGGGGGTTGTGGGATGATTATTACTAGTGATTATGGATCATTCCCGAAAATTCCCTGCGTTTAGCACCAGTAAGAATATATTTCATGCAGTATATGTCGAATTGTTTCAACCTATTTCAATAGGACACATGATGCAATGTTTTCATACAAACCCATGATGCCGGTGTTTCAAGAAAGTGGGAAAGACGGATGTGATTGTTTTCTTTGGATGTGGAAAAGGCTGAAAAGTATGTTCAAATGAGTTCAAATCATGCTATGATAGTTATGATATCATTTCTTGTTTATTCAATTAATTTCAAACCACGTTCCACGGAATGTAAAATCGTCCGTTTTTTGCGATGGACAGCTCTACTCCAGTTTGCATTGCTTCCAGTAGAGTTGAACCACTCAAAGTTTGGAAGATGCGGGTGTGTCTGGGAGATATCCCAAAGTATGGCCATGAAATGCCATACATTTTGAAATTTCATGTTACCCTCTGGTAATTTAGCGTAGCTATTGAACATGGCCATTAATAGTGGATTTTCCCATTAAAAATGGTGATTTTCCATAGCTATGTTAGTTTATCAGAGGGTAAGTCCAGTCTATGCAAGTTTTAACTCCAATATCATGGAATAAGCCACCAGTTGGGGGCAGAAATGATGCCACGGATTTCTCTCCAAATTTGGAATTGTGTAGGGTTTTCGTTGCAACCACATTATCACATATTTCTCTCCAATTTATGGCCATTTCACTCCAATATCATGAGGACAGACTTAACATTTCATTGGGATCATGATATAGCTTACATTCAGATATGATTTTTTATTAACTAGATTTATCTCTGAATTTAATATCCCATTTTTTTAAACAAATTAGCTGATTATTGTCTATTGTTTTCGATTTATATCTCAATTTGATCATCTCACGCATCGGAAGAATGGGCAGGAGACGATGCCTGAGGTGATCGAAGATCGGACGGAGCCCAGATAGGAAGATCGGATGGTTAAGGAAAATTTAATTAATCGATATAATGATACATAGTAATTATCTAATCAAAAGAAATTTTATATTAAGTTATTGGTTATGATATATAATAATCAATCTATTAATTAATGTAATACATATAATGATGTTATATATACTTATGGATACATACATAGATAGATAGATATAAAATGTATATAGTTGAGAATAATCAAATTAGTTTACAGGTACATGTGGGAGAGTATAATAACCCGGCACCTATTCGTTTAGTATGCCATGATCCCCCATTAGCTATATGTAGTTCTCACTCGAGAAAACGATAAGAGGAAAAAAAACGATAACGATGCTCAAACATATAACTGAGTCATTCCCATGTCAGACTCCATGAGATTGCCTGGTGGTTCAAATGGGCAAGTGGACAAATCAACATGCAAAAAGGTGCGTTTATTGTGTGTGTGTGCCATTTGTTACATTTGTTTGAGGTTGTATCCAGATCATAGACCTCTTGTGGGGATGGATTAAGTTTACCTGTATATGACTGGTGAAGATGAAGGTCTGGTGTGAAAACCAGGAGATACCATGGTACTGATCCAATAGCTTGCCACAAAATGTGACCCGTGACGGCAGAATGTTTGGATTTCTGGGCGAATCTTGACCATCAACTGCCCCCAACAAGAGCCCAAAACCCCAGCCAACCCCAAACAAAAGAAAACCGAACAAAAAGCACCGGCCAGCCCGAAAGAGGCGCAGATGCAGCACCCGCACCCCCAAAGGGCCAGGCATCATGAAGCACGAACGAAGGCACCACGCTCCACAATGCCAGGTGGACAGGCACCAATGGCAAGCCGGACAAGCTGGGCTCAAACGACCAACAACAAATCCCATAGGATCCATGTATGGCATATATGCTATATAACATTGGGGGTATATAGGTAAATGTTACCATATATAGCAGCACCATGGATCCTATGGGGAATGAACATGCGACCAAACCGTCAATTGGTGAAATCTCCGATGTCACAGGAGAAACGTTCCGAGGAAAGGAAAGCGGTACGAAGGCATGGATTTTTCATTCGATTTGATCAATGGCAGACTGTGATGCTGAGTTCTTCGAGGTGGCAGGACATAATCTTTACAAATTGCTCCCACTGCTTGTACTCACACTGTGGACAACTGCTATTCAGAGGCATACATCATGTTTATCTCACCATTTGTGCAGCTTATGATCAAATATGATTGGTTTTTAAAAGATCATAACCTGATGAGCTGGCGGAGACTCAAACCTTGAAGGCGACCTCAAAAGTCACTCTCCAAGGATTTGTCAAAGGGGTTCGGATTCTCAAAGTGACGATGGCTTGGAGTTACCCTCTGGTTATGTCAAAATAGCTATTGAAAATGGCCATTATAGTGGATTTTTCCATTAAACATGGTGATTTTCCATAGTTATGTTAGTTTACCAGAGGGTAGTATGTTGTTGTTTCTTGTGTTTTTTCCACATCGCATCCACGATATTCAAAATTTCAGGATACGGAAGCGTGAATTTGAAGAAATTGAGATCTTCTGTCGGATGTGTTCTCACCAAAAAGGGCATTGCCATCAGTGTGTCTCTGACCGTTACCAGGAAATTGCCATCCTTTCGTTGAAAGGTGAAACTGCAAGGAAGGTACACAAATTTCATACAAACAAATGATGAGGCTTAACACCAAAAACTCGAGAATGCATGTGCTCAAGTCACCCAAATATGTTTTTGCCCAAGTGGAATGTAAGGAACATTGCTTTTTTGGAGGATGGTCAGTCCAAGTCATCGCAGAGTCGTACTATTCTAAGGAAGTCAGCAAGGTAAGTACCTGCACATGGCAACACATTCCAACGAAGCAAGTTTTTCCCACCATGAACCATAGAAATTCCACATGGCCAACGCCCACGCCCGTGCCCTCGCCCAACGCTCAGGACGCGTTGGGGAGAAGATTGCCGCATGCTGAACCGTTGCGGTGGTGGAAAGTGCAGATTCCATAACCTCCAAACGTACAAGGTGGTGCCTCATAGTCAGCTAAGATGGTGCAACTAACTCCAATTTCACTATGGTTAAGTTGGTGATAACTATGGTTTATAGGTGATATATCTAGTTTATATAAGTTCAATTTTCACTCTGGTTAAGTTGGTGATATATCGAACTAGTTTTCATGGGGATTATCACCTATTTACAACTGGGGGGGGCACCACGTTGTATATCAATGAGGATAGCATCGGGACGATTATCGGGACATTAATGGAGATGTTCCATGGAGATTCATGGATCCGGTCAGTGGTTCATCCCCTCCGGTTGTGCCCCTCCGGAAATCGGTGAAAGTCCCAAGAAGAAATCGGGTAGGTACTACGGTACATTCGCCAATTTTCCTAGAGTCCTAGGGGGTATTTTATGGAGTTTGATTTACAACAATGAGTACCCTCCTGGTAAATCTGGTAAATTAAGAGTTTGACCATGAAAATTACTTTACTTCGTGTGATCCCCACCATGACATTTTTACATTTTCTTACTGGCAAATCTTCTGGCATTCTATCTGACATATCTTCTGACATTCTATTTGGCATTCTATCTGGCATATCTTCTGGCATATGATCTGGCATATCTTCTGGCATATCTTCTGGCATATCTTCTGGCATTCTATCTGGCATATCTTCTGGCATTCTATCTGACATATCTTCTGGCATTCAATCTGGCATTCTATCTGGCATATCTTCTGGCATATATTCTGACATATCTTCTGGCATATCTTCTGGCATTCTATCTGGCAAATCTTCTGGCATTCTATCTGGCAAATCTTCTGGCATTCTATCTGGCATATCTTCTGGCACTCTATCTGACATATCTTCTGGCATTCAATCTGGCATTCTATCTGGCATATCTTCTGGCATATATTCTGACATATCTTCTAGCATTCTATCTGACACATCTTCTGGCATATATTCTGACATATCTTCTGGCATATCTTCTGGCATATCTTCTGGCATTCTATCTGGCAAATCTGATGCATTCTATCTGGCAAATCTTCTGGCATTCTATCTGACATATCTTCTGGCATTCTATCTGGCATATCTTCTGGCATATATTCTGACATATCTTCTGGCATTCTATCTGGCATATCTTCTGGCATATTATCTGGCATTCTATCTGGCATATATTCTGACATCTCTTCTATTCTATCTGGCATTCTATCTGGCATTCTATTTGGCATTCTATCTGGCATATCTTCTGGCATATCTTCTGACATTCTTTCTGACATTCTTTCTAACTTTCTTCTGCACATTCTTTGTCCCATATCTTCCCACATGAGGTCCGGCAGGGAACACTGGGCGGGGATGGTCGTGGTTGAGGTCCGGCAGGGAACACTGGCACGGATGGTTGTGGTTGAGGTCCGGCAGGGAACACTGGGCGCGGATGGTCGCGGTTGAGGTCCGGCAGGGAACACTGGGCGCGGATGGTCGCGGTTGAGGTCCGGCAGGGAACACTGGGCGCGGATGGTCGTGGTTGAGGTCCGGCAGGGAACACTGGGCGTGGATGGTCGTGGTTGAGGTCCGGCAGAGAACACTGTGGATCGCGGGTCGCAGTTGAGCAAGGACGACGAGGACGACGAGGAGGACGAGGAGGAGGAGGAGAGGAGGAGGAGGAGCAGGAGGAGGAGGAGCAGGAGGAGCAGGAGGAGGAGGAGGAGGCAACTGACATAAAATCTAACAACCCTCACCTGGCAGGTGGGGAAAAAACATTTTTTAGTGGAAACTAGTCTTTCAACCCCTGTCTGCCAGGGTCTGTGTTAATTTACTGGAGGGTAATGATTCAATGGGAATTACTAATCCTGGGGTGAAAGGATCTTACTAGGCAGTGAATTCAATCCAATCACAGTGACAAATCCCATGCACATGTATAGTCTCATCATGTCTTATATACCGATCATTTTCCGAAATTTGAATGGAACATTTGCAGTTGAACCTGCCATCGTTTCAACACGTTTCAACACGTTTCAACTGCACATGTTCCCTTCCAACTCAGAGATCATTGGGCCCGCCGAGTTAGCAGCTTGGATGAGCAGATGCGCCGGGAGCGTTTGATGAATGACTCCACGCCTGGAATCCCAGCGATCTCCGGCGCGGAGCGATGAACAGTGGCTGCTAAACCGCGGTTGATGATTAGTTGGGGGGAATTGTTAAATCATTAACACAATCCATAGTTTGGGGGGAATATTTTCAATATTTCCATTATTATAATTTAGTTGTTCTGGAATGGTTACTAATCAAATAGAATGGGGAATCATTAACCAATCCATAGTGGGAAATCCGTTTCACCTGACAGAATCACGGGACGACAGAGGGTCTTGAAAATTGCTCAGATCTTTATTGATAGTCATTGTTCGAAAACTCAGCCATTTGAAACTTGGATGTACCATTTCAGTGTCGGGTACCCACATCTTTACCCACATCTTCCCAATGTTCAAAGTCTCTGAGGATTCGTACCCTTGAAAGCACCAATGGTTTCCCGATAGCAACGACTGGATGACTCGAGGTATGTGGGTTTCCAGCTGGTCAAGCTGAAGAGAAGTCAGGCGGAATTTGCAGACTGGGATCTGGATGATCTGAGTGCAGTGCAAGGGACTCGATGTATTTTATAGATGATTACCCTCTGGTAAACGTTTACATAACTATGGAAAGATCCACCATGCTATTAATGGGAAAATCCACTATTTCTATGGCCATTTTCAATAGCTATGTTAAATTACCAGAGGGTAAGTATTGCAACCAATCCTTGAATCTATAAAATATAAAATCCTGAGTTGACTATAGTTCATATAAATGTGGACTGGTTGCTCAACATTTAAAACCCAGGACCATAGATTGACTTGTCTATTGTTTGTATTGACCCTCTAATTATTGGGGTACCCGATTTTGACCCATACCCAGCTGCCTATACCATTTAATACGGTGAATTACAGGGATATTTCCCCAACAATATAATTACGGATGATACGAATGTATGGGGAAATAGATTATATACACGTTCTATGATGTTCTATGTACCTTGGAGATGCAAAAAGAGAGCCTAGATCGTGTCAATCACATTCAACTGCTGCTGATTTCACCCTCGATCGGTACTGATGGCTGGAAAATCCTCAGTTGCTTCGATAATGTTCCCGCTTGACACCTTCATCTGGGGATGTCCCAGCTAGCTACGGTTGATTACCCTCTGGTGAACTAACATAGCGAACTGGAAAATCACCATCTTCAATAGGTAAACCAACTATAAATGGGCCATGTTCAATAGCTATGTTAAATTACCAGAGGGTACCGGAGGGGACTGGGTCATTGTTGAGAAATCCAGCAGCGCTGAAGATTGGTGTCCTTGTTCGAAGGTGATGCAACGTCATTTCGCGGAGGTTGGCGACATTTTCGAAGCTGGGAAGGGTGCCATGGCAACAAAAATCAGCAGCTTGATTTTCTGTGGATGAAGATGATGAAGTGCAGATTCATAGACTTTTGACTTTTGTGAACTTCAAGACTCAGACTGGGTAATCTGGGTACTGTAGTCTGGTTTTTACGGACATTGCGAACTGGAAAATCACCATTCTTAGGGGAATCGGTAAGTCACCTTGATGGACCATGGCTTAGCAAAGTCTGAAGTTGCACCTGGATCCTAAGGATCTCGCAGTCCGAAACCCAAGCGCCTCAATAAGGTCTGGAAATCAGCGACCGGGTCAGGGAGTCAATGTGGATTTATGTTTTATTCATGTTTATCCTCAAAAATTGGTTGGATATTTGATACCCACATTTCTTGCTATTTCCAAAGGTATGCTTTAATAATCTTTAATAATTTAATATTGAAAAATATAGTTTGAAGACCATCGGTTTGGGGGTACCCTATTCAGTGACATCGACCAGCATTTTCATTTTCTCATTCTGTTCATGGGTATGAAGAACCTACATCAATAATATTCAATAATCATCAATATTTGCGTTTCCTAAATAGGAGTAATTACTAATTACCCACAATCATTGATTCTCTCTGTTCAGTATCCATTTATATAATAAGAGTGGAGCATACCAATCGAAGCTCCAACCAGGTTAGTATGTGCAGCGATTCTGGGCACTGTTGCCGCGGGATTTTTATGCGTCGAAGGTCAAATTGTGTCTTCGGTACGAATCCCAATCCCCCATTCTAGAGGGTTTCATGGCAGAAGAGGTTTCATCATTTCCCCATGAAAAAGGACCAAGAAATTGAATGATCATGAGGGAATCCCCCATGACTTGGGAACATCCCTTTTTGTAGTTGGGACTGACTTTGTCAGTCCCTCCTAGCAAGGCAGTGATATGTAATAATATGTTATATACATGTACAAATTCTTGTACATATGATATAATATAACCTTCTGGATCAAGGTAGCCCCGAAAACATACCCCAGACATACTGCCTCAGAAGGCACGGTTGGATCTATATCTGCTCTATAGATATATTCCGTTTCAGAAAATCCGCAAGGATATGGAGTCGTTGAGCCTACCCAGCTTGCAACCACGAGCCAGTGCCAGTGGTTTGCAGCTCAAGATATCTTTTGCTGTCCATGTTTTTTTTTCACAGGGCTTTACTCATCTTGGAACCCAAAGAACATGATTAGATGATGGATTTTAATGTCAATGTTGATTTTCTGCAGGGTAATAGTCTTGAGAGTACTGTAAGATACTGTAGGCAATTTTCTTTCCATACAACTGAGAACTGCATTGTTCATGCTGCGAATTCAAACTCACAAACGATCTTGCTTTGCGCATACTTGATTCTTGATTATTATATTAATATATATATATATATATGTATGTATATAAAATATAATATATATATATATACTACATCATTATTTTAAAACAATTGTGAAATTCTAGTGTGAAATGGTGGTAAATCTGACCTTTTCTGCATCTTTTTGGGGTGGAAAGTGATTGGCCAAGGATCTACTTTCGAGGGCTCCAAGTCTGGACCTCTGAGTCAATCTGCAATTCGGGGCATAGATTGGGATTCAACCAGCATGATGAGGATTTAGGCAGATGGGATGTAGTTTACCCCAAAAATTCAATTTTACCGGTGAAAATGGTGATGTTTTGCAGTGGATTTCGGGGTTTTACTAACCATTTTTAGTCAAATCCATACCATCCATACGTAGTTCCCCTGAATCGACTCTAGGCGTGGCAGTGCTGTGGAAAAGAGCAGAGAAGAAAAGAAGGAAAAGAAGAAAGGACCCAGCGACGGTGCCGAAAGAGACCAAATCAGCTACCATCCCCGCCCCCAAATCAATGAACAATATTGAATAGAACGTGAGAATATATCTGATTTTTAGATGAAAGTAGTCTTCCAACCCGAATACTGTAACTGGCAGGGTGGTCATGTTAGTTGGGGGATTCTTCTTGCGGATTCGAGCAGGAAGAAAACGCCAACCTTCATGTAGCACATGCTATTTTCTGTTTCTGGCGACCGTCACCCGCTTGACTCCTTGTCAAATCTCCCTCAAGCATTCCACCGTAAAACCGCAATCCCATGGAAGAGGACTGGATGCCTCCAGTACAATGGCGCAGGCGCACTATAGGATCGAGGTTCAACATCGCATGAAGCCGCACTCAAACAGACACTTTCCAACGATGCAACTTGGAGACTGTTGTGAACACAATAGTTTACAACAGTTGGCTACATTCAAACAAATAATATCAAATAATATGCTCGAACACTTTTTAGTTGATGTTATATCATATTACCCATGACGGATCCATGTATGCTATATATATATATATGGTAACATATGGATCCCGTCAATATACCCCCTTTATGTTAGCATATATATACCAGCACCATGGATCCTATGGGTTATGTTCCATTGATTTCCATTGTGCCTGGCTGTTTTCATGGCTCCACCCTGTTGCAGGTGCGAGATTTGAAGGCCTTGCTGAAAGCGGAGCTTCCCGCGCCTTGAAAAAAAATAAGGGCCTGGGATGGTGATTTTGGATGGGGAGAACGATCGGAGTTGGATTAAGGGGAAACAACGGGAACAATTAATATGCAGGGATGTTTGCTATGTTTCACTGTTTTCCTGGAGAATGTCCCATTAAGACCAAGCCAATGAATGTAGGACACGTATATTTAGCTAGTTGCGACAGAATATGTTAGAATATGTTGGAAAACATGGGATGAAGTATGTGGGTCACACAGCAATGCTTTGTGTGGAATAATTGCAGTTGTATGAGTTGTACGAGTTGTATGGGTATGTCTCAAAACTGAAGGGTGTCCCCCACCCATTGTAATGGGCTAATGATATTACAATGATGAAAACACAAACTGATTTTGGGGGTTCAAATTTTGAGATAACGCCAGTCAGATCTAATTGAACAGTCAAAGGTCCGGAAAGTGAAATCAGTTGTGCATCCGTTTCTTGACTGGAAATGAGTATGTTCAGTTGCGGGTTGCCATTGAAAAATCATTTAAAAGCAGCTCAACTGAACCAGTGATAAAGACCCAAAAGCACAAGGCTTTTCTTGATAAAGGTATCCCCAAATCCGATATTCTCCATTAAATAGCCATATTTGGGATGTACGTCCAATTTCAGACACACCCATAAATCCACTATTCATTGATCGAATCAATCTTTTCTATGGTTAAATCCCATTAAATCCCAGTTTTTGCCGCCAAACTCCCCTAAATCCCTACATGTTTGCCTCCTTTTTTATTTCAGCCGACCCAGCGAAAAGCCTTGGGTCCCAGCGCCGCCCGAGGCTAGCATGCCTGCCACCAAAGGATCAAAGGACTTGACAAATTCAAAGCGCAACTGTCATGTCTTGAGTCGGTCATGCGCAACTCTGTTGATCCCTGAAATTAGGAGTACAACATGAAGAAATGAAGAAGGTCGACTTGAAAAATGGATATTGGTGGTTGGTGGTTTGGAACATTTTTTGTTTTTCCATATCTTTGGAATAATCATCCCAACTGACTTTCATATTTTTCAGAGGGGTAGGTCAACCACCAACCAGATATTGGTGGTAACCAAGCCATCCTATCCCATCTCTTTTTTGGATCTGTGATTTTCCACCTGGTGAGTTTCCTTTACTGAGCCTGGCCTCTCCGTCGAGATCAAGGAGCAAAATCCGACAAAAAATGGACCAGTGAAATTCAAAATTCAAATCTGCTGTGGGATCATTAAGGACATTAGGACACACTTTCAGATTTGATATGTTGGTATATGTTGGATATGTGGTGTGTCCTAATGTCCTTAATGTCCTTAATGATATGGTGTATACAACATGTCGTATGGTGTATGCACCATCTAGTTTGTATATGTTTGTATATGTGTGTATGTGTGTGTATCATTTGGTATCTGATGAGATCCGAAAATGGATTTCAACCGACACACCGTTTGGAACGCGGAACGCCTGTAGAAATCAACACGGTCCACATGGCCAGCAATGTGAGCTGCCGCCTGACAGGCTTTGCACCTTGGATCAATGCATGATACATTGAATACACCCTGGTAAACTAACAGTTTGCTATTGAACATGGTGATTTATAGTGGATTTACCCATCATAATATAATAATATATATATATATACATATTACCCATATGCTCCAGGTATGGAATATGTATTAACATTTACCTTCAAAATCACCCAGTTTTGTAGGTAAATATACCATACATAGAGCATTTGGGTGAGCATTTAGTTCGTTGATTTACCCAGTATAGCTATGGTGATTTTTCATAGTTATGTTAGTTTACCAGAGGGTACACTGACTGTAAAACTTGTTGAGGTTGAGTCCTATAGATCTCTTTTCACTGCTGGAATCTGCTGTGTTTTATTCTCACCAAATTCCCTCCGTGATTGTTCCCAGTACTATTCTCCTTGATTGGCAGCTGACTACATAATAAAACAAACAAATATCATCACAAACACCAACTTATAACAGAGTTGCGGCGTTTCAGTTTGGGAGATGTGAAACGTACACAGGGTTTTTCAATCAGAAAGGTTGCGCAACGGAACTTCTCAAGTTCTAAGGGTATATTATCACAATATCATAAACTATCATATGCTATCATTTGCTATCATTTGCTATCATATCGTATTTGTTCTGCTATCATATACTATCAAATACATTCATATACTATCATATACTATCCTATACTATCATATACTATCATATGCTATCATATATTATCAAATGCTATCATATACTATCATATACTATCATATGCTATCATATGCTATAATCCTGCCATAATATCGTATTTTATGTTATCAACTACTATCATATACTACAATATACTATCATATACTATCATATACTATCATGTACTATCATATACTATCATATACTATCATATGCTATCATATCGTATTTTCTGCTATCATATACTATCATATACTATCATGTACTATCATTTACTATCATATACTTTCATGTACTATCATATACCTATCATATACTATCATATGCTATCATATACTATCATGTACTTTCATATGCTATAATATATTATCATATGCTATCACATGCGATCATATCGACTATCATAGACTATCATATACTATCATTTACATTCATATACTATCATATACTATCATATACTATCATATGCTATCATATACTATCATATACTATCATATGCTATCATATACCATCATATACTATCATTTACTATCATATACTATCATATACTATCATATGCTATCATAGACCATCATATACTATCATATACTATCATATACTATCATATACTATCATTTACTATCATATACTACCATATGCTATCATTTACCATCATATACTATCATATACTATCATATGCTATCATAGACTATCATAGACTATCATCTACTATCATATGCTATCATATACTATCATATGCTATCATAGACTATCATAGACTATCATATACTATCATATGCTATCATATACTATCATATGCTATCATAGACTATCATATACTATCATATACTATCATATACTATCTCATGGATGGCCTGATTCTTTAGTCCAAGTGGAGTTCTCTTTTGCACGACGCTCCCAGGTGCTATGGCTCCTCCTGCTGGACTGTGGCACCGCCCTTCCTGCTCGACAGTATTGTTTCCCGGATGGGGTGAAGTGAAGACGCTCGGGGAAACGCCAGTTGGGTGAAGCAAAATCCCTGGAATGGTGAAGATTGGTGGCATAGGATGTGTGGAAAAGGATGAAGTACACATCAATGCACATGATACATGATAGTACAAAGCACAGCACAACACAACACAACACAGGCGAAAACACAACACAACACAGCACAGCACAACACAACACGACACAACAACATGATACAATATTGTATAATTGAACTCTAACATAACACAACATAACAAACATAACATCACACTACATATATAAATATGACATAAAACAACACAACACAACATAACCTAACATAGTAATCAACCAATATATTCTGACTGTCATTGTAGCTCCACGTTCCTGCGGTCGGCGAGGTTGGAGTGAAGAGTTAACCCCTGATTTGTGCTGTGGCCATGACTCTGACTTCGACAGATGCATGTTTGATCAGCACTACTTCACGCAATTCGAATGTTTCTTGGCGATTGGCAAAAAACCACGGAGGGCTAATTATTTTAGGAATTTTTTTTTGATCAGGTTTAGGAATTATTTTTGGATTCCTGCTTCTCTGCTTTTCCTGCTTCTCTGCTTTCCTGCTTTTCCTGCTTTTCCTGCTTTTCCTGCTTCTCTGCTTTTCTGCTTTTTTGCTTTTCTGCTTATCCTGCTTCTCGCCTTTTCTGTTTTTTTGCTTTTCTGCTTCTCCTGCTTCTCTGCTTCTCTGCTTTTCTGCTTTTTTGCTTTTCTGTTTTTCCTGTTTCTTTGCTTCTCTGCTTTTCCTGTTTCTTTGCTTCTCTGCTTTTCCTGCTTCTCTGCTTTTCTGCTTTTCCTGCTTCTTTGCCTTTCTGCTGTTTTGCTTTTGTGCGTTTCCTGTTTCTTTGCTTCTCTGCTTTTTTGCTTCTCTGCTTTTTTTTTGCTTTGCCTGCTTTAAATACTTGATTTTCATGTAAGATGCATTTTGCACAGTATTTACATCCCTGAGTATCACATGACCAACCTTCTCTTGAAAACTAGCAACGTAACATGTGAGAAGAGGTGCTTGCATTCTGCTTTGGGGGGAGGCGCTGCGCCCTCCCCCCAATCCCCCCCTCCCGCTTTTTTTTAATTTAAACTTAAACCCAAGTTACATTAGTTGGTTTTTGCGAACTAACCTTCTCTGGAAAGCTGACAGGATTACATGTGATAGATAGATAGATAGATAGATAGATAGATAGATAGATAGATAGATAGATAGATAGATAGCTTGGATAGATAGATAGCCAGCTAGATAGATAGATAGCTAGAGAGATAGATAGCTAGATACCTCGATAGATAGATGGCTAGATAGATAGCTAGATAGATAGATGGCTAGATAGATAGCTAGATAGATAGCTAGCTAGATAGATAAAGAGGTAGCTAGATAGATAGCTAGATAGATAGATCGATAGATAGAAAGCTAGATAGCTAGATAGCTAGATAGATAGTTAGCTAGATAGCTAGATAGGTAGATAGATAGCTAGCAAGATAGCTAGCTAGATAGGTAGATAGCTAGCTAGATAGATAGATAGATAGATAGCTTGCTAGATAGATAGCTAACTTGCTAGATAGATAGCTAGCTCGATAGCTAGATAGCTGGATAGACAGCTGGATGGCTAGATAGATAGATAGCTAGATAGATAGAAAACTAGATAGCTAGATAGCTAGATAGATAGTTAGCTAGATAGCTAGATAGGTAGATAGATAGCTAGCAAGATAGCTAGCTAGATAGGTAGATAGATAGCTAGATAGATAGATAGCTTGCTAGATAGATAGCTAGCTAGATAGCTAGATAGCTAGCTAGCTGGATAGATAGCTAGCGCCCTCCCTCAATCCCCCCCACCCGCTTTTTATCTAATCCCAAGCTTCCGCATCTGTAAATATTTGGGTGAACATGCTCACATGTAGAACATCCCATGCAAAATGGAAGGTGAACATGCCAAAATGTGGCAAATACCATACAAAATGGAAGGTGAACATGCCCACATGTAGCAAATCCCATGCAAAATGGAAGGTGAACATGCCAAAATGTGGCAAATACCATACAAAATGGAAGGTTAACATGCCCACATGTAGTAAATCCCATGCAAAATGGAAGGTGAACATGCCCAAATGTGGCAAATACCATGCAAAATGACAAATTCAAGTTCCAAACCGTTGCAAACACTAGGCAAATGGTACCAGCCAAGAAATCCAAAAAAAAATCCCAAACCTGTTCAAAAAAAAAATCCTAAAACTATTTCACACCCAAAAACCACAGGCACAAGGTGGGTTTATAAGTCCCATTAAACCTATGATTTATAGGTGTTATATCTATAGTTTTCATGGGATTATAACCCATTTATAACTGGGGGGGGCACCACCTTGCAGTCACTGAGTCACTTTTTTGATGTTTTTTTGGGGTTTTGGGCAGTTCTGTGAACATGACTGTGAACATGATTGTGTATGAATATACAGGATGAGTATTTCTCAGTGTCACGGAGATGGAAATCCAATCAGAAAAGTTTCCTGGAAGATGTTCAACCATGATGGCATTGTTTTTTTCATAAGCTGGGTGGACGTTGTGTGCACATTTGGACACAAGGGCATTAGCGCAGTTGCCAACATTTGCTTCACAGAATCATTCAGACAAAAAGAACATAAACTATATAAATGATTTTAAACAACTAAGAAACATTTCCTGGTGTTTCGAATCAGTTGATTGCTATCCTTGTGCTCTATGTAGGCTACCTGTAGGCTTGCGTTTTGAGAGTCGTTTCCGCATCATTTGATAGTACTCCACAAGTCGTCAATTTTGCGAGTAGGGGGATGGTGCCCTTGCTTGAGTGGTTGGTTCTTTCAGGTTCCTCTATGATCTGGTGGTTTGGTTCATTTTTTATTTTTCCATACATTGGGAATAATCATCCCAACTGACTACCCTCTGGTAATTTAACATAGCTATTGAAAATGGCCATTTATAGTGGATTTTCCCATTAAAAATAGTGATTTTCCATAGTTATGTTAGTTTACCAGAGGGTAATATTTTTCAGAGGGGTAGGTCAACCACCAACCAGTGTTGGCGTTTTTGATTTTTTTATTGCTGCTTTGAACTCGCTACAGGGGTTTCACAATGTTTCACATGACTCATGGCGCCTGGCGCGACCATTCCAAGATGTTAACCACTCTGTCAACAAGTCTTAGTTTTGGCCATTGAAGCTCCCATTTGCTGTGGCAAGGTGTTGTCTTTACGAAAGGTCAATTAATTTATAAGTCTGATGTGATGAGATGTGTCTAAAAATTGTAATTATACAATTGACAATTATAATCAACTATATACACTCATACAGATCATTCATACACTTGATAAAATCAATTAGCCTACGATCTTGCTAGCCTTCTGCACAGGTTGCGAGAGCAATTGGGCCATCTTGGACCCATACGGTCTGCCATTGAGCAGCGCACCACCGCTTGTTTTTCCCATGGACAACGACTGGAGTCAGCGGCATCCAGCAGAGTCGAAGGAGCAGACACCTGGAGAAAAGTTGGTTGAAAGGTTGGTCAAATGTTTTGGAAGATATCTATGAATCAAAATCATGCATTGTTGATGAATGTTGAGTTCAAGAGAGGTGCAAAGATTGATTCTTTGTTCATGAGTTTTTCGACATTTGAAGCGAGTTTGCAGTGTATGTTTGTTGTCTTTTTTTGCTAGCGGGTGAATTCGAATGTTGCTTCCATGCTGACGGCTTTGAACATGAAATGGTAGATCCAGTTCAGAGACTTAAGAGACTGGCATTTTTTTGTGTCGTGGTTCACCGGGTGATGTTAGTAAAGCGATGCCATAAACTATGTTGACGGTTTATACATGGTATGTCGCCCATTTATGGTAAGTTTGGGGATGCTTTGCCCCTTTACTATTGTTTTTCTATAACATTATAGTCTTTTTGCCCAGTGATCATTCAGGAAAGAGTGGGAGCAGCTCGTGTATTTTGCGGCCCGAACAAAAGAAGTGAAACTCTCCACTGGAAGCGTTGTTCGGCTCCATGTGTTCAAAGGCCGACAGAATTGTGGGGAGTTTGTCGTCACAATTTCACCGTTTATTCATGGATTCATCCAAGATGAATTTGACTGCATGAGTTTATGCTGATTTGATACCCCATAGGATCCATGGTGCTGGTATATATGCTAACATGAATGGGGTATATTGATGGTGAATGTTACCATATATAGCAGCACCATGGATCCTATGGGTACTGAAAATTACATCAAGATGAAGTCAGTACGAGTCATGACAATGTCCACCGAGTTTGTCCAGCGACCATGAATTTTTCAGCGGCAGGTGACATGCCAGACATCCACCTCTACCACTTAGAGAATGAGCAGCCCAGCAGCATGTTCCGGCAACAATCGGCCAGACAAACCTGAAGGAATGGCAGGAATGGGTGGTGACATCACATCATGCCAAGTACGCCAAGGTGCCATAAGGCACCAACAGAGCTGCCTCAAATTTAGCATGATTTCACAATTGTTTCATTGCATAGTGCCGACCTAAAATTGAGGCCATCTGATGTACGCACCACGCGGATTGTGGATGTGGGAGCCAACTATGGAGGAGTTGCAGTGGCATTGGCAAAGCACTTCGATTCTGCTCGTATTGTGGTACTCGAACCCAATCCGTCTCTTGGTTTGGACAGGTTATATGGGACACCTGGAAATGCATTGGAGCTGAGACCTCAAAAAGCATCAAAAAGCTACAGTAGATGCTAGATCAATACATGACACTGAAAAGTGCAACTAAACACTGTAAATATGCGCTTGATTTGCTGTAATTAGGTGGCCATCCATTTTGCTCAATTTCAGGCATGACTAAAGAATGTGCAAGAGAGAGAGAGAGACAAGACCACAAACATGAACTTTTTCCGGATGACAGTTGCAATTTGCAATCAAGATCTCCATGTTTTCTAGGGTTTCAGATGTTTCGCAGATGATGCAGGCTCCTTTGTCGATTCTTGCTGTGGAACATTCGCTCAAATGCTTTGACGCATCGGATCTGGCCACTTTGTGCAGCCTTGGGCGACACGGAGCTTTTATTTCAGCCATGCAGCTTGTCATAGCTTGTCCTGACAAAACCAGCCGGATCTGGACAAAACCGAGCATTTTCCCTCTGTTCTTCGCCTAGTATTGGTAAATGCAATAGAATGATTCCCAACACTAACATACCGTTTTTGTGTGTTTTTGCACGTTTTCTGGTGTCAAGCCTTTTTGATGTCTTGCGAAATTCTTGCTTCTTCCATACCCACATGTCACGTGTGTCTTTCTGAAAATAGTGTACCCCACTTCCATCCCATGGTTGATCTTCATTTTCCAATCAGGATGTCGTTAAACAATGTTAAACATTTCATAAAGTTACATCAAGTTGCCATTTTTCGGCCTACTTTCCCCCCATTTGTTGGAGAAGCCCCACTTTTTGGACCAGGTAAGCAGCCCTGGGTGGGCGCTCCGGTGAACAGTTGCATGAACCTGGCCATGCGCACCTTCGAAGCTGACAACTCTTTGGAAGCCGAGGAGTCTGTGATCAAGGCATCCACTGGGGTGATATGGTTTGATATGGATATTATAAGGATATAGTATGGAAATGTATGGAATATCATGGGATATGGGATATACTATGATATAAATGATATACTTAATTAACTTAAGACTAAAGATAAAACTATTTTATGATATGATGATATGGTGGTTTCTTACATGATCCCCAGTCGTCACCATAGGTTTCAAAACTAAGTCATGGTTTATATAATTTTGATTAGTTTTGTATTTGGGGTCCAATTTGAGGAACCTCCGTGATTTCACATGAGTTTACCCATGAGTTGTTGAACAGAAAAAAAAAGTTTTTTATTTAGCCGATTAGTTTTAACTTAAAACCATTAGTTGGGTTATACAACTCAATGATCAAGTTCTTGGTAAATCATGATAATTGGTTTATATAAACCATTAGTTTAATGTAACCAACTTGACAAGTTCTGGGTAAAGCAATCACACTTTCTTGGGGACCCTCTGGTTATTTAACAGTTCGCGGTTCGTCATGCCCTATTCAGTTTGATTAATGATGATTTAGCGTTTCTTAACTTAATAATTTTCCATAGCTAGGTGATTTTACCAGAGGGTAGTGGCAGGCTGCGGAATCCCATCTACAGACAGTACCATAGTCCTATGGTTTTTCTGATGAATCCTGTCGAAGGAAGGATACTTGCAAGACAGGAACAGTCCATAGACGTGATTTTTCTGGCCATGTCTGGCCCACCTTTCACCCAATAAGGGGAAAATCCGCAGGGACACCCCATAGACTAACCCATAGATTAAACCCCTATATTAACCGATATTACAGTAACCCATATGTTTCATGGTCAAGACAATTTTCCAATGGTTTCAAGCGTAGAACACTTCTCGAGAATCAATGGATTTCAGCTTCATCCCATCTCCGACCGCTTCAGGTGCCGGCTCTGCCTCTGCAAACTCTGCTGGATGGCCTCGGCTGGTCGCAGATTGACCTGCTGAAGCTCGACTGCGAAGGCGCTTAGGGCAGGGTTTCGCAGGGCGGGAAAGACATGAATGGAGGGTATTTAGGAGAATGTCATGAGATGTCCCAGAATTTTGGTTGTCAAATTTGGACGATTTGAGAGATGAGCATGGGTTGATTAATAATGATTAATAATGACACAGAATGACTATACGCATATATAATTTCATATTATAATATACCATTTTTTCAGGGGATGAGTTTCCCTTACTAGCTATTTTGGCATTCACTGAGGTATCAGGGTTTTGACCGATCCTATTTCTAGCACCGCTGTACTCGTAGGCTGCGAGTGGCCTTTGGAACAGAGACTTCTTCCGATGCCTTCCCGCGCTGTTGGTGAGCTGCACTTCGATTGCTTCCAGCGCGCTTGCTGGCCGCCGCAGGCTTGAACACAGCTGCACGGGTTGTGTGAAGCAGTTGACGCCCCGAAAAAGTGACCCCTGTTGATTGGTTATTCAACGGGGATTTCATCATCATTTATAGTGGTGTTTCTACCATTAAACTATTATGTGGTACAATCCATTGACACATTATGGAAAAATTAGTTGATGACCATATGATACCATAGGGGTTTGTGCTAGGTGTTTTTTTATGTTTATTGGAAGTTACCTTATTCTGATCCATTATGGGAATCCCCATCCATTAACCAGTGCAAATGGATTGGGGTTTTGGACCCTGCTTATTTCAGATCAAGGCATCGATGATCTGATCATTCCTGCCGTCAAACATGGCAATGGAAAATCCCCCAGTTTAGATGATGTTTCTACCAAAAACTTCACATCAGGGGATTTCTCAGCTAGCAACATTTGATTGCCGGAGGGTATATGAAAGGAGGGAATGAACATTCATAGCAACCCAGCTACCTTGATATGACAGCGCGGGTGATAGGTTTTTGATCAGACCTCGCTTCGTTTCTTTGCCCAGGCAAAGCAGCGGCCCGGAAATTGCAGCCACGTGGAGCAGTTTTCATCGCTGGAGGAACTGGAGTCCCTATGGTAGCGGGGTTTCAGACAGAGCTATCCCAAGTATTTCCCACATGTTTGGGTCCCCCTATGGTGGCAGAATGTGGCAGATAGAAAAGGGATGAAAAGGGTGTTTGGATATCTTGGATCGTTTGGATCAGCAGGAGATGTACACTTTAGCTCGGAAATGCCGACCTTCGCAAGCTTCGGAGAGATCCTGAAGTCAGCAGCAAGTCCCACCGGAAAGGACATGCCGAAACGTTGCGGAAAGATCTCAGAGATCTTGAGAGCTTGTTGGGTTGATTCTGAGCTCTCGGACAACATCCCAGACATCCCCAAGATAGACTTGGCAGCTGTAGCACCAACCAACCAGACCAACGGGATCTGGAAAGCCACAGGTGCCTTTGATGGATTCAGATTCACACTAGAAAAGATCCCACCTAGATTCTGAGTCTTCAGCCACTTTTTTCTGGTTTATGCTAGCTCTAGAATCGTTGATGCCTCGTTTTACCCAGTAATCCTCCAGATTCCTCGTGTCGATGGCAGGCGTGACTCAGTGAGTTCAAGGACGATGCTGCGATATGCTGCGATGATGCGGGGCTTGCATCGGTTTCCTATGCTTTCCGCTTCCTGAGATCTAGAGTATCAGAATGCTTGCTGCAACAAGGCTTTCTGCTCAACAGTTTGGCCCAGAAGCTGGTGCACTGTCACTGCTGTCTGCTCTGAAGAGAAAGGAGAGGGCAATTTTAATGCAGCGAGCGAAGCGATCTGCGGAAAAACGCAGCTGGACGGAATCAACATTGACATGGCGGCAAGTGACTGACAGACAGCATCCTTGTATATTATAGAATGGGCTAGCGCCCGGGTGCCGCCGACCCCCCCTATTTGGGGGGTCCTGCAGAGAGAGGGAGAGAGATAGATAGATGGATGGATGGATGGATGGATAGATAGGTAGAGAGATAGAGAGAGAGAGAGATAGACAGATAGATAGATAGACAGTTGGATAGACAGATAAGTAGATGGAGAGATAGATGGATAGATAGCTGGATGGATAGATAGATAGATGGATAGATAGATAGAGAGGGAGAGATAGATAGAGGGGGAGAGAAAGATAGAGAGGGAGAGATAGATAGATAGAGAGGGAGAGATAGATACTCCGACGGCATCCGACGGCATCAGCGGTTCAGTGGGTCAGTGGCGCGTCGCTTCCGGCGGGCCGTGCTGAGGTCGATGGTGGTACATGGTGGGACAGACATGGACATATATGTTTTGATATGCCCCAACATGCCGCAATTCAATCACAAGGTGCAATGTGTATGCAATGAGTATGACGCTACAAATTTGAAGTCAGACCTCAGTTCATATTTTTAAGCATATTTGGCCTCCTATCATTGTATGATTGGTGGTAGAGTATCATTGATTTTGAAACTCAGGGATAATCAAGGGTACTGATCTCCGGAAGCTGCTGAGCTTGCCGCGCCAGGGCCACGAGTTGTGGCGCCTCATCATCGCCTTTTGCGGGCTGGCAAACGGCAGGCTTGAACCACCATAAAAGGACAATGCCGGGGCTGGCAAACGGCATGGGAGCTGCAGGGAAGCATTTGGGGGGTTTTGCGGGCTGGCAAACGGCAGGCTTGAACCACCATAAAAGGACAATGCCGGGGCTGGCAAACGGCATGGGAGCTGCAGGGAAGCATTTGGGGGGTTTTGCGGGCGGGCAAACGGCAGGCTTGAACCACCATAAAAGGACAATGCCGGGGCTGGCAAACGGCATGGGAGCTGCAGGGAAGCATTTGGGGGGTTTTGCGGGCTGGCAAACGGCAGGCTTGAACCACCATAAAAGGACAATGCCGGGGCTGGCAAACGGCATGGGAGCTGCAAGGAAGCATTTGGGGGGTTTAGGCTTGAACCACCATAAAAGGACAATGCCGGAGCTGGCAAACGGCATGGGAGCTGCAGGGAAGCATTTGGGGGGTTTTGCGGGCTGGCAAACGGCAGGCTTGAACTCCCTGAAAAACAGATGGCAGGGGCATGTAGCTGTAAGAGTTGTTGCCTTGGAGGCCTGCGGAAGCGTTTGGAGGGTTTCAGGCCGGTCAAACGGCAGTCTTGAACTCCCTGAAAAACAGATGGCAGGGGCATGTAGCTGTAAGAGTTGTTGCCTTGGAGGCCTGCGGAAGCGTTTGGAGGGTTTCAGGCCGGTCAAACGGCAGTCTTGAACTCCCTGAAAAACAGATGGCAGGGGCATGTAGCTGTAAGAGTTGTTGCCTTGGAGGCCTGCGGAAGCGTTTGGGGGGTTTGAGGCCGGGCAAACGGCAGTCTTGAACCCCCTGAAAAACAGATGGCAGGGGCATGTAGGTGTAAGAGTTCGGCAGGAGCATGTAGATGGCTGGGGCATGTAGCTGGCAGAGGTGTTGCCTTGATGGCGTGTGCCTTTGCTTGCGACCCGAGAGCCAAGTTCCACACCTCCGGTGGTCCCAGGCGCCGCCCCTGCCTTGGCAAAGGCCGGGGTCGGCGGATATGGATATGATATAGGTACATATATGGTACATGAAACTATCCCACATTATTTCAGGAGATTTCAGTTTAAATGACAAGATGTGCCAGTTTTTTGGCCACGAATGGTCTGATTTGGACAGCCAACATGTGGATTCAACGAGGAACAAATGGGAGTTGGTCAGCCAACAACCAACATGGGCTTTGAAGCCAAACAGCTGGATTCGATCGTGAAGAAATGGGATGCTCAACAAACAAGAACACGGAATTCACCAACAAATCGCATCATTCAATAGGAATGAATGACCAACCTATGGTTTCTATGCATTTTTTGACCGTTGCCTTGAGACCTGTTGTCACCGGAGGCTGCATTTCTGCAGCTTAAACGGCTTAGCAGAACCATGCGGATTTGATGAGATTTGGCATCCGATGGGGATGTATATAATGGGATATCACCAACATTTATGGGTAATCACCAGGAACACCACCAGGAAACTGAACCAAAGCACATTGAACGTGGCTAGCAGTGGCAGTTCCATGATCCGGATATTTTTCTGGGGTTCCTGTGGCACTGAACGCACCGAAAAAGGGTTGAATTGGTTGAATGCTACCGTTCCGCCTTTGTCTTTGGTTCATCATGTCGACTGCTGCAGGCGGGATTCTGAACATGTAAAAGAGAAGCCATTGCTGCGGCCGGAAGGTGCCCTTGAGCCATTGCTGTGGCCTTGTGGTGGCTTTTGCGTGCGGGAGTGGCGCGTGTTGGGCTTGTTGGGGTACCTTGTCCCTGCGGAGCTATGCGAACTTTTGGAGCGTTTGGAGGGTTTTGGAGGGTTTGAGGCCTGGCAAACGGCAGCCTTGAACGCCTATAAGAAGCCATTGCTGCGGCCGAAGGTGCCCCCATTGCGTTTTGTGGGCTTTTGCCTGCGGGAGTGGCGCGTGTTGGGCTTGTTGGGGTACCTTGTCCCTGCGGAGCTATGCGACTTTTGGAGGCGTTTGGAGGGTTTTGGAGGGTTTGAGGCCTGGCAAACGGCAGCCTTGAACGCCTATAAGAAAGCCCATTGCTGCTGCCCGGGGTGCCCTTGAGCCATTGCTTTGGCCTTGTGGTTGCTTTTGCGTGCGGGAGTGGCGCGCCTTTTGGGTGTGCCTATGCTGGGGGGTGCCCTTCAGCCATTGCTGTGGCCTTGTGGTGGCTTGTGCGTGCGGGAGTGGCGCGTGTTGGGCTTGTTGGGGTACCTTGTCCCTGCGGAGCTATGCGAACTTTTGGAGCGTTTGGCAAACGGCAGCCTTCGCCTATAAGAAGCCATTGCTGCGGCCGGAAGCTGCCCTTGAGCCATTGCTGTGGCCTTGTGGTGGCTTTTGCGTGCGGGAGTGGCGCGTGTTGGGCTTGTTGGGGTACCTTGTCCCTGCGGAGCTATGCGAACTTTTGGAGCGTTTGGAGGGTTTTGGAGGGTTTGAGGCCTGGCAAACGGCAGCCTTGAACGCGTATAAAAGAAGCCATTGCTGCGGCCGTGGGGTGCTCTTGAGCCATTGCTGTGGCGTTGTGGTGGCTTTTGCGTGCGAGAGTGGCGCGTGTTGGGCTTGTTGGGGTACCTGTTCCCTGCGGAGCTGGCCGGACTTTTGGAGGGTTTGGAGGGTTTTGGAGCGTTTG